GTCTGGGATTCCCTAGAGCTTTCTATTTGCAGCAGGTTGACTGCTTGCCTGACAGCTCACTTTCAAGCTGCAGAGACACGTTGATGTTGCAGGAAGTCCACTCCCTGGGCCCCACAGCTCCCCACTAATGCTGCCTCTCTCTGCTGTGCTGCTAGGAGCTGACCCCAGCACCCACGGAAGTTCCTCAGGTGCCCGAAGCCAGCGAGGGGGCCGGAAAGGAGGATGACCCTGGCATCGGGGGCATAGGTGACTATGACTACGTGCCAAGTGAGGACTACTACACACCTTCCCCGTATGAGGACATCAACTACATCGAGGGCCTGGAGAACCCCGACCAGCCCACCGACACGGGCCTGGAGGCCGAAATTCCCACCAGCACAGTGGTCACCGGCAACGCATCCAATGTAATTCCTGTCCCTCAGGCGGGTGGGAACAGGGGGCCGGGAGAGGGCCCAGGCTGGGGATCAGGAGATCTGAAGTCTCCTTTGCTTCTTGCCCTGGGGTGTTCCTACATCCTCAGCTCCACAAACCCTGGCCAAGTTCACAGCTGTAGACTTGGTTCCCGCTGACGGGGCCCCTCTGTCAGGGTCCCAAGGCCTCCTGGCTGCCGCCCTTGGAATGGCTGGTGGACCTGACACATTACACAGTTCACCACCAGGGCTCCCGGGACCCTCTGGGGTGATGGGTTCATGTTTTATATTTTAGTTTCTATTGTGGTTCAGGTCAAAGTTTACAGAACAAGTTCAATTGCCATCCAATTGTTTATACATGTTTTGTTTCATGATGTTGGTTGCAACTCCCTCAGTATTCAGGGGACTCTTTTAAACGCTCCCTGGGGCTTCATTAAGGTGAGTTTATAGCTGACATTTTATCTGCAAAGTGGCCAAGTGATGCCTACCCTGCCGTCTCTTGGTTTGGGTAGGAGTTGGCGAGGAAGTGTGTGAGTGTGGGCGTGGCTGTGTCTGGGGCAGCTGTGTCTGCGAGTGGGCAGGGTCGACAAACAGATGAGTGGGGCACGGGGCAGTGCCTGGAGACAGAGGACTCACAGGCGAGCGGCCTGACGGGGCCAGTGCCCATCACTGAGGAGCTGGGTGGGTTGGGCAGCTGTGGCACCTCTCTCAATCCTGTTTTCTCCCTGCCACCTGGCATAGCAGTGCCCTCTTGGGCGTGCAAGGGGTTCTCAGCTCAGGAGAGCTTGGCACGTGGAGTGCAGGTGGGAGATAACCTGGTCTGAGCATGGCCCATGGCTGCTGGCTGAATCTTTGGCTGCCGCAGCTCCAGCCTGGAACCCATGTGTGGACACTGTCCCCACAGCCCGAGACCCTGGAGCAGCCAGGCTGCAGGCTCACGCCTCCCCAGGACTCGGGATGGCTAGCCGGTGGGCCGAGGTCAGCTCTGACTGTTCTTGTCCAGGGGCCCGGGCAGGTCTGGGGGAAGATGTGTAGAGAGACTCTGAGGGGCCCAGGGCCTCTTCCAACAGGCTGACCCACTCTCCTGACACAGAGGCTCTGTGAGCTGGGAGGGCCCTGCCCATGCAGGCCTGGGTGGCCTGGCTGAGCCCCTGGGAGGGACAGTCTGCCCAGCTCACTCGGTGACCTGGATGCCACGCAGAGGTGCACATCCCCAGGTGACCCCTCTGCCCATCCCTGTCCTCTCCAGCCAGCACTGTCCCCAGAGGAGGAGAAGGACGACTTTGAAGGGGAGTTCACCGAGGAAACCCTCAAGAATCTGGAGGAGAACTATTACGACCCGTACTTCGACCCCACCATCTCCCCATCAGAGATCGGGCCCGGCATGCCAGCCAATCAGGACACCATCTACGAAGGGGTGAGTGACCGCGCTGTGAGGGGAAGGGGCCCAGGTCCACGGGGGGGGGGGGGCTGTCCCAGGCCCTGGGCACCGTGACATCTTGAGCTTTAATGATAAGCTCAAGATTTGAAGATTTAATTGAAGCAGTTCATTCTGGTTCCATCCTCTGCTCAGAATTTGCAATTCCACCCAGACGTACTAATTCTGCATCTGTATTTTACCGTCCTGGGCAATACGTTGGAATCCCCTGGAATTACCAAGCATAAATTCTGATTCAGTTTCTCTGAGTGGAAAGATGATATCTCAGTAGGGGGTGGAACCAGAATGAACTTGAATTAACTGGAATGAACTAGTTGAAGCTCTGATTTTAAGGGTCTCAAGTGCTTAGAATCAATCGGATCTGGCCGGTATGTGCTCCTTGGCACCGTCTCTGCCCCTGGCTCCTCTCTGGTCCTCCTGTAGTCGGCCTGTTTTCTCCATTCCTTACACCAGAGGGAGCTCCCAGGCCTGTCCCCTGGGTGGCGGTGTCCACTGCTGACAGTCCCGGTGCTTTACTGGGTGCTGAGGACTTTGTGTGACCCTGGACCCTTTCCCTCCTCTCTGTCCTCTCTGTCCACCTGCGTGGGGTCAATCCCAGATCGGAGGACCACGTGGTGAGAAGGGCCAGAAGGGAGAACCGGCCATCATCGAGCCGGTAAGTGCTTCCTCCTCTCGCTGGCCCAGGAGAGCAGGCTGCTTGGGGACAAGGTGGGCTGTGTGGGATGTGACCAGGTCTCTGGGCCCAGGGTCACTGCTTGCGGGGCTACAGGACAAGCTGTGTGACTGCGCAGCCACCCTCACAGAGACCTTCCAGAGGCCCCTCAGGGTTGGGGAGTCTAGACTACTTGTGGGTGTGGGCTCGTGGACACACCAGCCCAGCTGCGGGGCACACTCACTGGTGGGCTGCTCCCTGTGGGTGTGTGTTAGCTCCATGTGAGAAGCCCAGAACCTCTAGAAGGGGACTGAGTTCCTCTGGAGCAGCGCCAGTGAGGGCTGGGAGGTACCACCAGGCGGGCAAGCCCATGCACACCAGCACACGACACCCCTTCATCCTGCGCCAGCCGCCTGGCCCCGCAGGTGGAGTCACTGTGCTCACTCACTGGCCGGCGGTCCTGTCTTCTCCTTCACCGACCCTCTCCTTTACCAAGCAGGAGGTCCTTCTCCAGCATCGTTGTCATTGTTAGGTGCTGTCGAACGACTCACGGCAGCCCTCTGATCAACAGATGTGAGCCCCGTCCCACCCTGTGCCATCCTCACCCTCTCTGACACATGTGGGCCCATTGCTGCAGTCATTGTGTCAGCCCACCTCATCGAGGGTCTTTCTTTTGCCAACCTTTCCAAGCATGGCGTCCCTCTCCAAGGAGTAGCCTCTCCTGCACCATTCCCAGAGTATGTGGGACAAAGCTTCACTCTCCTTGCCTCCCGGGAGCACTCTGACTGCACTTCTCCAAGGCCTAGCTCCAGGGTTAGCTACGTAAATTGTCATGTTGGTACTGAAAACGGGAAGACATCCACACTCTATCAGATAGGACAGCTGTGGAATGGCTTTGCCTCTCCACACCTGTTAGGCAACTCTTCGCAGTAAGTCTGATGACTGTAGAAACAAAAAACACGGATTATGAATCTTCAAGGGGATTAAATGAAGCAGCCCTGCCCTGATTTGCAGCTGACAGAGACTCAGCTGTGGTAGGATCATGGAGAAACTGAAAAACAAAACTAAATTGTTCATACTTTCTCAACACGAGGAAAGATCACGCAGGGACTTCTCTTGGGTGGTGGGTGTCAGTGACAGGACCCTTGTCTGTACCCATCGAGCCTGTGGCTGGCCGGAAGCTAAGATCCACCCCGTGGCCTGCGCTGCTCTGGCGGGTGGATGTGGTACCATGAGGGTCAGCTGTTCTGGGCGTGGCCTTTTCAGCTGTACAGTGTGTGTGTCTGTCTGTCTGTCTGTCTGTGTGTGTGTGTGTGAGTGAGCAGCTCTGGACGCCCAGAGGGTGGAAGGAGCCAGGTCCCCAGGGTCCCCCTACAAATCCCACAGGGAGGATGCGAGTCCTGCAGCGTGCAGTCCAGGAGCCATGGGCAGGGCATTGCCACTGAGGTCACAGCTAGTTCCTGAAAGCTGAGATCAGGGCCTTGTGTCAGGGGCTCCTGAGACCCTAAGGACCCTGTGACCCTGCAGTGGAGAATTCCAGTTGAGTTCCAGGCTCCTGTGGCCTGGCTTGGTTCTGGAAGCTCTGTGACTGGTGACATTTAGCAAGCTTAGAATCCATTCATTCCGGAAAGATGAGCAGGTCTGTGGCCGGTCAGCCCCGGTGTGTCCGATTTGGAGGTCCAGCACGTGTTTCCGGGACGGTGCTCCCGAGGGTCTCCGGTGGTTGGTCCCTGCCCTGATTGCAGAGATGTCAGTAGAGTCCAAACTGACTCAGAGCTGGCCCTCCAGTGGCTTTTCAGAGGCAGTAATTTCATGGTAAGAGATTGTCTAACCTTCTCCTGTGGAGCAACTGGTGGATTTGAACCATGTGTGTGCCTTTGGGATTGGAGTGCACGTTCTTACCAGACAGTAGAGAGGACGTCTTATCAGTTCTGTGCTCCCATCACATGCTGGGCTGCCTAGCCTGGCACTGTCTCCACATCTGGTGGCCCATCACCACTGTGAATCAAGTGACCTTGGTCTGAGGGCCCGTGCTTTGCTGTCCTCTTGCCTGTATGCGTTTTGCACTCCGATCCTTTCCCAAGGATGGGGTGCATTGGTCTCTACGGGGAGTCTGGACAGATAATCCATCTCTCAAACTGTGAGTCTCCCCTTCCGTGTTCTCCACAGGCCCACGGACTGGGAGGTGCGGGGACAAGAGAATGTGGCTGAGGGAGACCTAATACCAAGCTGCCCTTTGGTCAGCAAGATGATCCCAAAGCGAAGTCCAAGCTCAGGGAGAAGGGAGCCCAGAGAAGAGCTGCAATCATTTTGAGCAGGGTCACCCCCAAAGAAGGTGGAACTCCTCCAGTCTCTGGGGGAGTCTTGGCAGAGGGCTCCAGCATCGAGCATCGCTTCTCTAGGGCTGTGTGGGGGTGTCCCTGGGGTTGGGACTCTCAATGGTGTTGCCCCAAAAGCCCAGGCTCCTGGTTGAATTTACTTTTGACTTTGGATTTTTTCTCATGGTGTCCCCACTGCTTCAGTGAGAGAGGAGTCTTTCCTGGGAAAGGCGATGGGGTCCCAAGAAAGGGCAGGCACCCCCGGGACAACAGAGCCCTCCTCAGAGCAGGCCAGGCTGACCCCACTGCCTGTGACATGCGCTCTTATTCCCTGAGAAGCAGATGCTGTAAGTGTGGACGTGGCATCCAGCCTGGCGAGTGGAGGGGGTGTGTGCAGGGGCTGTTCCACTCTGCAGAGGGGGTGCGCACAGGAGGCTGTTCTGTTCTGCAGAGGGAGTGTGCACCGGGGCTGTTCCACTGCGACGCCAGCCAAGTGGGGAGGGCGGCCCAGCATACAGGGACGGCCAACCCAAACATGTGTCCGGAGAATCCACTTTTTCATCCGGGGAAACACAGGCCGTCTGGATGTAGTTAGCAGGCTCCCCTCCCCTCTCCACTCCTTCCCAGCCCCCAGCTCCTTCCTTCTGGGTGCCGGAGGGGCGGTTGGCTGGTCTCCCCAGAGGGCCTATGTAAACACTTGGAATTCCTGAACCCAGAGCACTGCCAGATGTCCACAGTACCAGCTCTCCGCGAAGAGTCCGGAGAGGGGCCGCAGGAAGGCAGCCGCTGACCACGTGGGGCCTGCCCTGCAGTGGTGGGTGCTGTCTCCCCTCTTTCCCATCACCCACCTCACGTCACCCCATCATCACGTCACCTCTCCCTTTGGGAAGCTGCTCTCTCAGTGTAGACAGAATTAATGGGACCCAATTCTTGCCACCATCCACTCAGATGGTGGGTGTTCCCCACAGATCCAGCACCTTCTGTCAGCTGTGTCCGAGGCTCTGTGACAGGCAGGAAGCTGTTTGCTTACCAGCCTCCAGTGCAGCTGGCCGAAGCAGGGAGGCCCAGCGATCCATCATGCATGACTGACATCACTGGCTTCCAGTGCTCATTGGCTGACACAGAGGCCCCTCCCACCGTCCCCGCATTCACTGCTGTTTTGTTGTTGTGTGCTGTCAGCTGGATCCTCCCGCAGGTTTTCAGAGGCAATAAACTGCACGGGAGATTGTCCCTCTTTCTGCAGAGGAACAACGGGTGGATTTGAACCGCGTGCCTTTGGGTTAGCAGCACAGTTCCTTACTACTAGGCAGAGGGAGCGGCTTCTTTCTCTGTGGTTGTTGAGTTCAGTCGAGCTGAAACCCACACCTAGCTGACCTTCCTGTGGGTGTTCAGAGGCCGTAACTGCGGGAGGGGAGATCATCCATCTTTCACGTAGCCTCTGGTGGAGTAAGACTGCATACCTTTGCACTGACAAAGCGATTCCTTTAGTAGGTTCTGTGTGATGGACTTGAGGGAGGACGCTGGACAGTCTCCTCCCAGGCAGTTCCCAGCGGCGTACACTCACTAGAGGGTCAGCTATGAGTTGATTGAGACTGCACAGCAGAGAGAGAGGGAGAGAGAGGGAGGTTTAATGACTGGTAGAGTAGAGGTCCTTGAACCCCTAAGGGTTCTCTGGAGTTTGGCAGACTATGAGATCTTCAGCTAGGAGACATTCTGAATTGGGGGAGCTGGGGAGAGCAGGACACTGCCTGAAACGACCAAAGATGGACGGCTGACCTCGGAGGACGGAGCGAGTGGACATCACTGCAGAGCTGGTGGCACAGAGCGTCCCTTGGCGATGTCGCGTCACTGGGCGATGCCGCGTTCCTGCAAGGTGCTGCGTCGCCAGGTGATGCTACATCGCTGGAGACCCTGCCTCAGGTGACGTCTGCGTGGGAAAGTGGAACCTTCTTCCCCACCCAGCTTCCTTCCTGTGCCGACCGACCGGAGTGACCCAGCCGTCCTCTGCAGGCCCCCAGCTACCCAACAATAGTAATCTGTGTGTTTGGGACGAAGACAGCTGCAGTCCCTGGGGGGCTGGGCCGGCAGCTTCTCAGCGGATCCAGGGCTGCAACTCCTCCACTGCCGGATGGAGGGGAAGGGGAGCTGGGATCAGGGGCTCTGTGCGTGAGCTGTCTGTGCACAGAGCAGGTACACACTGCTGGTGTGCATCTGTGTAAACACAGCCTTGTCCCCGTGGCGCCTGGGCTGCTTCCTGGCTCCATGCTTCGTGGGGGCTGGTCAGCTGGAGGGCTGTGTGTCCCCTACTCCATGTTCACCCCTGTGCAACACTGGGCTCTGAAGCAGTTAGGATTTTCCCAGGGGCCCGTCACTTCCGAGGAAAATCCCTGACCTAACAGCAGGGGCATTCTGGATAGTAGCAGCTGCATGTGTCCTGGGCCTGGGGAGAGGAGGCAGGGGGCTGACTGAGGCCAGCACCTTCCCCCTTCTCATGCTGCCCCAGGGCTGCTGCAATCAGTGGGGAGAAGGGTCCCTGGCCCAAGCATGTGATGTGCCCAGCTGTATCTATTGTGCAAGGCATACAAGTTGGGGGCCCTGCATGCACCCCAATTGCTCCATCAGCATGCAGACTCTGTGGGGACAGCCCTTCCCTACATCCAGGGGACAATGGGCACTGAAGAGAGTGTGGTCAGCATGTCCATCAGCGGGAATTGTAGCCCACACTGTCTTCCCCTGTGAGGCCCAGCCATGCACGGGAAGGAGGCTTTACTTCATTTTTGGGGTACAGGGAGAGCGGCCCAGAGAGGAAGGGGAGAACTCAGCTGGTAAGATGAGGGTCAGAAGAGGCTCCTGGGTGGGGGAGGAGTGAACTTGGACTGTTACCCCATTTAGGTCAGGTCAGGTGTGTGTGTGTGTGTGTGTGTGTGTGTGTGTGTGTTTTATGCTGGGGACTCTCCCCCATTCTGGAGGGAGAAAAGAGCCCCCTCAGCACATAAGGGGCAGTGGGCACGAGGAGGGCCATGGCCTTAGTGACTCTTGTGCCCTGTTCCTCCTTCCTTTTGGGCTGTGCCCAGTCCTGGGGTACTGGGGTACACTTCCTCCCTAAATGACTGTCACTCAGTTCCAGCCCTGACTGTGACTTTTGGGTGGACAGTGGTTTGAGGGGAGCAGATGGGGACACAGTGGGCCAGGTCTCCCTCCTCTCCTCTCAGAGTCCCGAGAAAGCCTGGTGGGTCCTGAGTAGGGCTTGTCCTAAGCCTAGAGATGCTAGGATGATGGCCATTACCACAGCCCCCATGGCCCCTTATGGGGACTGCTTGGGACCTGAGAGGACAGATGATAGGTGGACAGTGGATGGACAGGAAGGTCGATGGATAATCGATCAGTAAGTAGTTAGAAAGGCAGGCAGGGGTAGGTGGATAGATGGCACACAGATAAGTGAGTGCTGGACGACCTGTGTCGGGGGATCCCACTCCCGGTGAGCCAGTGCATAGGAGGATGACACGTGGCTGGCCCGGCACTGCCCTCATGACCACCCACGTGCAAGTCCACTCTTGTGGCCTCTTCCTTCCGCGGAGAGCCTTTCATCCCAGGAGACTCACCCTCCAGCCCTCTGTGGGACCACGTCCCGTGTGATCCACATGGTGGTTGCTGGCTAATTGTCAGACGTACGTCGGCAGATCTTCCTTTCTCGCTCGTCTTCATCTGGAAGCTCTGCTGAAGCCTGTCCACCTGCATGGCCCTCCTGGTGTGTGAAACACCTGGACACGGCCTCCAGTACCACACACGCACACACACACATCCAGGCACTGACAGCGTGTGCTGAGAAGACCATGTTGTTGTTATGTGCCGTCGAGTCGCTTGCGACTCATAGCGACCCTATGTACAACAGCCCTAAACTGTGCTCTGTGCTGTGCCAATCACACTGTCTCTGACACTCCCATCCCAATTACCCCAGTCACTGAATCAATCCACCTCATAGAGGGCCTTCCCCTCCTGCGCAGTCCCTCCACCCTCCAAAGCATGATGTCCCTCTCCAAGGACCGGTCTCTCCTCACAACATGTCCAAAGTATGTCAGACGAAGCCCCAGAATCCTTGCCTCCAAGGAGCCACCCGGTTTAACCCTTTCCAGGACAAATCTGTTTGTTTTCCTAGCAGTCCATGGTATTCTCAATACTCTTCTCCAGCACCACAGCTCAAAGGCATCAATTCTCCTTCTATCCTCCTTGGTCATTGTCCAACTCTCTGGTGCTTACCAAGTGATAGCAAAGACCATGGCCTGTATCAGACACACCTTAGTCTCCAGAGAGACACCATTGCTCTTCAGTACTTTGGAGAGGTCCCTAACAGCAGACTTTCCCATCACAATACGTCTTCTAATTTCCTGGCTGCTGGTGCCAAGAGTGTTGACTGTGGAGCCAAGCAAACCGCTCAATCTGTGGCCTCTTGTCCCCTGAGCCAGAGCTTCGGCCTCCGGGGCCTCCAGCAGCCAGGAGCAGCGGGCGCTGAGCACTCGGCTGGTTCCCGCGGGTTCTCCGTGTATTTCACCCCGGCCTCCTTCTCTTCCAGGGCATGCTCATAGAAGGGCCCCCCGGCCCCGAAGGCCCTGCCGTGAGTACCGGGTGATGCCCCAGGAGGGTGGGAGACGTCACTCTTCTTGGGTTGATGGCAACACTTACAGAGCCCAAGGGGGAAAAGGGACACAGGAGGCTGTCACCTCCAGTGGGGACCCTCTGTCCAGCACTGAGTGTCCAGGCGTGGCCGGGTGGGAGGTGGGCCCCGCTGGGGTGAGGCTGGCTCCTCACTGTGCCTTGACTTTGTTTGCAATTCTAGGGTCTTCCAGGACCTCCAGGAACTACAGGTCCCACGGGCCAAGTGGGTGACCCTGGAGAGAGGGTAAGGCTGCAGCTCCCTGAGGTCGTGGGCTCCGGGGGCTTGTCCGTGTCCTCTGTTCCAGGCTCAGCGTGTGTCCTGCCCGCTCTGGTTGTGTGTCCTCTGCCCCACGCTTGCCTGTGTGTCCTGCTCAGACGGTGTGACCGCTGCCTGGTGGTCCTTGCCCATCTTCACATTCTTAGATGCAGACCCCTCTGCTGTTGACTTGATTCTGACTGTCACAGCCCTGTGTTGAGTTGCCGAGGCTGTGAATGTTTGGAGGGATACACTGTCCACTTCTCTCTGCAGAGTGGTTGGTGGGTTAGAACCGCTCACCTTTTGGTCAGGAGTTCATCATGTAACCCTCTGCACCACCAGGGCTTCTCAGATGTAGAGATAGCAGCGGCCAAGTCAATGTCCTTCCCAAACCTCTCTTCACCCCACTTAGCCCTCCACACCTCTCTCACCAGGTCTGCCTCTATCAGCAGGTGATGGATGGTGGAAAACCACCATCATGGGGAGGCCTGGGCCTCAACATGCAGCAGCGCTGTGACTGACATTGGCACAGTAAACAACCTCGCTGGCAGTATTCGTAGTCTGAGAGTGTCGGGTGGGCCCTGTGTACTGTGTCCTCCATCCATGGAGCCCACCTCTGTCCTTCCTCCGTGTGTGAGAGCCCTCGGCCCTACTCCTTGTCTCTCACACTCTCCTTATGAGAAGCTGAGGCAGCCGTGGAGAAGCGGGGGGCCCTGGTCAGATGGGAGGATCTTGCTGGTGGCCAGCTGAGCCCCGCTGGCTGGGAATGCACCCTGACCCCTGGTGGACACTCGGAGAACTGCACCCTCAGGGACCGTGTCCAGCTTGGCTGCTTGCTGCCCCTTCCCTTTCTTCCCTGTGTTTTCCTGTCAGGCTGGTGGCCATGGTGACCGCAGCCAGATCAAGTGCTGATGCTTAGATTGCATTTTCATCTGGGGGCCATCAACCCCCGTCATCGGGCACCGCTGACAGCAGGGGCCTAACGGAATTGGGGGTGGACAGTCAGGCAGACACCTGGTTGGGTGGAAGGTGTGTCTGCTGTCACAGCGCCATGGCTCTGGTGGCCTCTGGACTGAGCTGGGGGATTTTTGTGCAGGGTGTCAGTGCACGGACCTCGTGGGGACTGGACGAGCCAGCACAGGCAGGAGAGTAGGGTCCAGGCAGGAGCTCCTGTGGGGGCGGCCGATCTGGACAAGGTGGAGGAGGGGCGTCAGGGTGACCTCTCAGAGAACGAGGGAAGGTCTGTTCTGGGTGACACTAAGGGGACCCCAGATGGACCAGAGAGGACATGCTTGTGCATCTATCTGTCGCTTCTCTGGTTCTGGGGTCCAGAACAGAAGACATAGCCACATGATGACCTCTGTCCACTCTGCTGTCCTATGACTCCCACTCCCCCAGGACCTCTGCTTGAGGTGTGCAGGACCCGGGGCTGTGGCCTGTTCACTCTGATGTCTCTTCTCCCAAATCTGGGTCAGATGGGGCAGGCAGCCCAGTGATCACACCCTCTTCAGGCGTTTCTTCCCTGAGGTGCTCCTGGGATGTGGTGTGGGATCGTAGGTGTGATCAGAGTGCCTTGAGGGGCTGGCCCTTATCCTCCACCTCTCCATAGAGCCGTGTACTTCACGGCGGCCCTATGAGCCCCCTGTGTCCCACATGACAGTGATGTCACAGGTAGGCGTGATGGGAGAAAGTGCTTTGATGCTGATATTAGAAGAAACGTCCCTTCGCGCAGCCCTGTAGAAGCGTGTGTGTTGTGTGTGTGTGTCTGTCGTGTGTGCCTCCGGCTCCCTCTCTGCACACAGTACTGTCCACTCCGGTCATGCTGGAGAGGGGACCAGACCTTACACGTTCACCCCCATGTAAATGGGTGCTACAGACCATTTTATGCAATGAACAGACTCCTCTGTAATGAAGACATAAGCACTGAAGAAACGGCAGCTAGTGCTGGCCAGTCCAGGTGGTTCTGCCCCTTCTAGATGAGTCTGGAACCACCTGGCTCTTGTTTTCTGAGCCGGGAGTGGGGAATCAGCCTCAGGTTCCTGCCCCGGAAGCATTGATGTCAGGTGATGTTAGCATCACCCGAGTTCAGCCGGCGCTGGAGCTGAAGACGGGCACCCATGCCCAGCACTGCCCAGTGGACCTGGGCAGCCTCCAGTCTGGTGGGATGGGTGGTAATGCCCATCGACACAGGACACTAACCTCTCCTGCTTCCAACAAGTAGGAAGTCTGCCTGATTGGGCAGAAGCTGAGTGATAAAAGGTGTGAAGTAAGTCCTCTTGTCTGCTTTATATCCATGGGGCCCTGGGCTGGGCTCGATGCATCTCCAGGCTGGCCCTGGGTGTCTGTGTCCCATGTGAGTGGCTGGATGACCAGGGTTTGTTGTGGGGACAGCTGCTGCTGTCTGTGCTGGTGGAAATCCCCAACGTGATCTTGTGGTCTGATGGACGGTCCTGAGCTTCAGTCATGGGTCTCTGCAAGCAAGTGGGCAGTTGGCCATTGACTGTCTGAGTTACCATGTGCAGAGTGCTGCCGCCTCCCGACCAGGAGGGGGCTCTCACGCCGCAGCGCCTGATGCGTGGGGTGGCATCTGGCTGATCCCTGTGAACACTATGTGGAAAGGAGCCGGCACCCCAGCCTGACCACTTCCAGGGTCCCTCCCTCTGTGTAAGCTGGCCCCAGGACTGGTTACAGACACGTCTTTATTGCTATTCCCTTTATCCTACTTGGTGGACGTGGCATTTTGTCCAGACTGAAGGTTGTCACAGTCCTGTGTCACAAGTCGGCGAGCAGCGTTTCCCAACAGCGCATGCCTGCTTCATGTCTGTGTGCCCACTGTGGACACACCTGCAGGCTTTCAAGCTACTTCATGCTGTTGCATGCTGACTGTGTAGACAGGCCCAGTTTGCTCCTCACTTCCTCCTGGAAGCCCCCTCAGTCCTGGCCCATAGCGATGCTTTCTGGAATGTTCTTTCTTGGGTCAGTGTTGCCGTGTGAGTCGCGTGTCTTTTGTCTGCAGACTGTCCTGTTGTTTGGCCCCTGACTTTGACTAGCTCTCTGCCCCCCTTGCCACAGGGCCCCCCTGGACGCCCAGGCCTCCCCGGGGCTGACGGCCTGCCTGGCCCTCCTGGGACCATGCTCATGCTGCCGGTGAGTGTCCTTGTTTGAGGGTGGGCAGGGCTTAGTGCTCAGCCTGCACTGAAGGGAGACTGAGGCTCAGAGTGGCTGTCACTCCTGGAGTGGGCAGTGAGGGCACACAGGGTCCCACCCCCGTGGAGGGTATTCCCTCTGGACCTGCCGTGGCTGCCAGGAAATAGGAGACTGGAAGTTGTTCCTAGGGGTCTGATGCTGGAGAAGATGGGCTCCAGGCCATCATTCACTCAACCTGATGGGTGTGAGAGTCTAGACCCCCGACAGTGGCTCTGTGCTGCCAAGAGGCCAGCCCTCAGTGACTTCATGCCTTCTGCCCACAGTTCCGGTTTGGAGGGGGCGGTGATGCTGGCTCCAAAGGCCCCATGGTCTCAGCCCAGGAGTCCCAAGCCCAAGCCATCCTGCAGCAGGCCCGGGTGAGTGAGGGGTGGAGCTCAGAGCCTGGGGATGGGGCCTGGGTGAGGGGAGGGGCCTGGGTGAGGGGCGGAGCTCAGAGCCTGGGGGTGGGGCCTGAGTGAGAGGGGCGGGGTTCAGGGCTTGAGGGTGGGGTCTGAGGAGGGATGGAGCCCAGAGCCTAGGGGCAGGGCATAGATTAGGCGGGGCTCATACTTTGTGGGGGCTCATGAGCTGAGCTCAGAATCTGGGGGTGAAGCCCGAGTGGGGCAAGGCCGGTGTAAGAGCCTGGGGCGGGGCCTGGGTTTGTGGGACACAGGATTAAGAGGCTGTAGGCGTAGGTGGCCTGGATGGATGCTGGGCCAAGCTCCGAGCCTATGGGCGGGACCTGAGTGAGGGCAGAATGGGGCTCAGTCTGGGGACAGGACCTGGGCATGTGGGTGTGGCTCAGCATCTGGGGGCGGGGCTTGAGTGAGTTCAGGGTGGGACTCAGGCTGGGGCGGGACCTGAGTGAGTGCAGGGCCTGATTGGTTGGGGGTGGATGGGACCTGGGTGTGTAGGCGTGGCTAGGAGGCTGGGGCGGGACCTGAGTGAGTGCAGAGCCTGATTGGTTGGGGGTGGGGCCTGGATAAATTGCAGGCAGTGTGGTTAAAGTGCTTACCCACTAACCAAAAAGTTGGGGTTCGAACCCACCTGCTGCTCCTCTGGAAAAAAATTGAGGCCATCTGCTTTACTAGAGGTTTAGAGCCTCAGCCGCCCTATGCGGTAGTCCTCTCAGCTGTAGGGCAGCTATGAGGCCGAAAGGATTGGTGGGAGAGGTTCTGAGGCTTTTTCTGATACAATTTTGGATTTCTCCATTCACCTGTGATCAAAGGTGGGGAGGGGAGTCCTTCCTGGGAGCAGGGTTAACGAGCATTGCGGGGAGATGCTAAGCCTCCGTGTGCAGTCCTGAGAGGGCCAGCTGCTGGAACCGATGCTAATTAGAGCAGCGCTTGTAATTACTGAACAGTGTAGTCTTGAGTGGCTGCCAAGGAACAGATTGCCCCAAAGACGCATAGGGTCCATGAAGAGGCCCGTCCCTGCACGGGGTTATGAGGGGCCCATGACGAGGCCTGCTGCCTGGACGGGGTTACCAGGGTCACATGGCGAGGCCTGTCCCCGCTCGGGGTTACGAGGGGCCTGCACATTTAATCTGCATCAGTGGGCATGTGTTTGGAAGAATATTGGCTGAGGTCAAAGCCCCTGAACTCTGTGTGGCGCGGCTGACCAGCTCTTTGCGCCTCACGCCAACGGAGGACCCACACTCTGGAGGCCGTGGTGAGAGATAGAGCTGGGACGCGAGGACACCATGGACAGGCATCTGGACCTGGTCCTCAGTGGCTGCTTCCTGCCAGCAGGTTTTTCATGGGTCTAGAAATCTCAGGAAAGGTTCTCCTCTCCCAAGCATCTCCCCATTTGTGGGAGTCAATGTCTCTGGGGAGGGGATCCCTCACTGTTCATGTAGTGTGAAGTCCTTGAGTCGGAGGCATCCCAACCGACCCAGGAGAGAGCATTCGCATCCCGCAGGGAAGAGGACTGAGGATGACCTGGGCAGTGCTGCTGGGAGAAGAGGGAGGATGGCTGGAGGCTCCAGGCACCCCAAAGACAGGAAGTGGTGCCCACCTGGCCCTGCTTTTCCCTCCCACTGGACTTGGATGCTAACAACGCCAAGTGGTTTCTAGAAGGACCTGCTGCACCTCCCGATGCAGAGGCCCCATTCTCTCCTGCCCACACTTGTCCCCTCTGCTGTCCCCTTATTGCTGGCCATGCTGCCCAGGCCACTTAGCCTGTCTGCTTTCTCTTGCAGTTGGCGCTGCGGGGACCAGCTGGCCCGATGGGTCTCACTGGCAGACCAGGCCCCATGGTGAGATGTCATTGCTGAGTGTGGCTGTTCCTGTGTGTGCCCACTGCAGGGTGGGGGCTCAACTCTGCACTGCAGGGTGTACAGAGGGAGCAAGCCACGTCTTCCTGTCACCCTGACTCCTCGTGGTGGGGACTGGAGAGCTGGAACTGTGCTGGGGAGTTGACTCAATGGAGCCCAGGGCTGGAGCTGACCCCAGCCCCACCCAGGGACATCCCAGTCACAGGGAGGGTGAGGAGCAGAGTGAGACAGTGGCCAGGCTGTCCCTCGAGTGGACGACTGAAGCTACTACCAGCACTAGGCTCCTTGACAGTTCAGCAGGACAGTGTCCGAGAGGTGGGAGGGGGCTGGGGACACACCAGGGATAATATGTCCCCAAGTGGCAGACTGGGACCAGGGATGCTGACCCGCTTCAATTCCTGCCCTGTCCGTCTCACTGCCTCCCGCTATGTTAATCCAGAGTGTTTCCACAGGGTCCCCCCGGGAGCGGTGGACTGAAGGGCGAGCCTGGAGACATGGGGCCTCAGGTACATGGGGATGTGCCCAGGGTCTCGGGAGTTTCTGTGGGTCTGCTGTTTGTTTGAGGGAACTGGGGGAGATGGCCACTGCTTTGGGCAAAGCTGCGATGGACCAGAACTGAGCCCGGCATCTGGAGTAGGACAAGCCAGCACCCAGGTCTGTCCCAGCTCCACATAATGGGTGGGTCCTACGCCCAGCCCAACGCTGACCAGCTGCTAACACCCAGAGCTGTGGCCATGTGGGCAAATACAGATCAGGCTTTGATCTTTGTGTGCAGAAGATGAACACTCCACTGACCTCCTGTCCCCTGATTCCTCTCAGGGCCCCCGAGGTGTGCAGGGCCCACCTGGCCCCTCAGGAAAGCCAGGAAGAAGGGTAAGTGTCTCTCAGAGCGTTATGGGGGATCTGGAGACCCCCACATTGGAGCACCATCAGTGCGGCTGCTCAGCCCCAGCCCAGCGAGCACAGTGTGGAGCACAGACACTCAGCCTTCACCCTGTCCATGGGGAACATCCACCTCCAAGGCCACGTCCAGTGTCAGGGGCCTGAGTTCTATCCAGCTGCCCTCGATGGGGCCCCGAGGTCCCCCTTCAGCTCCTGCCATCAAGACCTGCCCTTGGCATGCTGCCCCTTAGTTGTTGCTGTTGTCTTGTAATTAAAGTGATGTCTCAAGCCCCTTGGGAGGACATGATTCTAGCCAGGCCCTTTATTTTGAGGCCGTCTTGTTCCTCCAAATCAAACTCTCTGACTCCTGGGGACCCAAAGTGTGCGCGTTAGATCCACCCTCTGCAGGGCTGACTGTGGTTGGCACTTTTAGTAGATTGCTAGACTTCGCTCCTGAAGTTTCTTTGAGGGGTCTTGAACCACTGACCTTTAGATTAGCAGCTAAGTGTGTTCACTGTTCCCACCACTCCATGACTCCATTGCTCTGGCCTGCTCACACCTTAGCTCCTCTCCTGTCCCCTGGAGTTTCTGCGGGACACACAGGCCTCGTAGATGAATAGTTAGTTTTCCTGAAGACCTTGACTAATGAATAAAAGAGAAAATAAGAATAGATTAAAAAAAAAACCTAAAAGAAAAGACCTTACCTAATGACCCGATTGAGGAGGGGTGTGGCTTTACCAGTGGATGGAGCCCACCCCTGGCAGCTGGGGTCAGACTGACCCCCTAAGGGGCGTGTAAAGACTGTCAGCCTGTGACTGCTTCTAGTGAGCGTGGGATGACTTCGTGTCTGTCGTCTGCTCATGGAGAACCCTCGCAGGGAAGGCCAGTCAGGAGCCACAGCTTCCTGCTTCAGCTTTCAGAGTATGAAACAGAAACTGCGAGTCTGCCATGTACGTGGATCCAGCCCCGGGGCCCTGCAGGACCGAGTAGGACTGCCCCATAGGCAGTTTCCGGGCTGCGCTTTCACGGAAGCAGACGGCCTCATCCTTTGCTGTGGAGGCTGCTGGGTTCACACTGCTGACTTCTGTTAGAGGCCTAGACTCGACCAGTGCGCCACCAAATCTTTTCCGGAATGTAAAGCCTAAAAATTCTGTTGATTGAGGTTCATAGAGCGACCCTGGAGGACAGGGTGGAACTGCCCGTAGTCTCAGAGGCTGCGGGCTTTATGGGCACAGAGGCCTCGTCTTTCCCCAGTGGCCACACACCGAGTGCTTACTCACTGCACCACCAGGGCTCCTTTCCGGAGTCTGTGAGAGGAGAGTGGATAATTCCCTCCTGGGTCTCCCTGTCATGTTGCGAGGATCCCAAGGCTCTCTGGGGACGACGCCGGCACCTCTGAGTGAACTTGAACTCCCAACCTTTTGCTCAGCCATTGAGCAGATAAGGTCTGACTGAATTTAGTGATGGCTGGTGAGGGCCCCTGGTGGTGCAGCAGCTTAATTGTTGGGATGCTAACAAAAGTTGGCACTTCGAGCCCACTAACTTCCTTGAGGGGGAGCAGATGCCAGCCTTGGAACTCTGAAGGCTAAACCCTCCTGGACACTCCTCTGTCCTGCAGGGTCCAGCTGGGACTTGGAATAGACTCCCTGGCCGTGCGATTTTGTGGGATACCTCAGTGATGTGTTCTCACTTACAACATGAGCAGATAGCCCCAGACTGACCCAGCTCTTCGTCACGGCCCCCCCCCGCCTGACCTCAGCTGCCAGCTGGTCTCATCACAGACTTTCCAGAAGGGCAGGTGGCTACTTCCCTGTCACAGGACAGGCGCCTGTTCTCATTCCTATGGTCTCAGACCCCGAGTCCGCGCGCGCTGATGGCTGTGTCACTCAGCTTGGTAGATGAGGAAGCCCCCTCTCCACAGCCTTGAACTGGTCACCCCTGTGTATGGACATTTTCCCTCTGTGTTCCAGGGACGAGCTGGGAGCGACGGAGCAAGAGGAATGCCTGGACAGACTGGCCCCAAGGTAGGCCCCTCTGGGTCACCATCCTCCCTGTCGCCACGATGGTGGCACAGCCAGCATGTGGCATGTGTGCTAGAGGTGACCATGGTGACACAGAGTGACCCGCTACACCAGTGTCTCGGGAAGAAGCTGGCAGTGTGGGGCGCCCTCCAGATGTGTCACTCTATCTGGCGTTGACACAAGGGTTGCCTGGTGCCATTTCTTGATCAAGGGGGACAAGTACAGTGGGGTTTCTGAAAGCTGGAAACCAGTTTGCGATGGGGAGCACTGGGATGGAACCTCAACTGTGAGGATGATTAGTGAAGGTGCAGATGGAAAGGTCACACACGAGGTGCTGACACAAGAATGCCGTGGCCTTCACGTCGCCAGGCAACTCCTGATTGTCATCCAGGGAGCAGGGGCCCTTCCAGTGCAGCTGCAGCATGTCCTGGCTCCCGGCCTTGGAGGGAGAGACTGGACGCTAAGGCCTGAGGGTGGGAGCCCAGCCTTGTGCGTGGCCAGCGTCTGCCCTGGAGTAGCCGGTGGTCTTTACAGAGCCAGGTCCTTGTTGCTGAGGTTCGGGGCACTGACCTGCCGCCCCTGGCTTTGGTGGGACATTTCTCCCCAGCTCTGGGCCACATGGATGGATTTGTCCAGCACCATGCCAGGAGCAGAGGAAATGTCTCTGTCCTCTGGTGTGGATGTGGTCACAGGACACAGATGTGCTTGGAAGGGAGCATGGTGACTGGGTCACCACACGTGCCAGATGTCCATGCTGCATGGTCACCCCGGCACTGGCATGGGTGTGTGGCCTGCCAAGTTTTGCTGTATCTGAGCTGATGAGCTCTCTGGGCTTCTGAGGTTTAGGGGGGTAGGGAGAGAGAAGACCAGCTTAGTGTATGTGTGTCTGTGGATTCAGTCTCCCCTCACCCCAAGTATTAGGCTGTGGACTTAAGAAAGAGATCAGAGAACAAGAGAGAAAGCTTAAAAGCAGCTTTATTAGGGGAGCTCCCGGGCCAGGTTCCTCATTTTGAAGATGCAGAAGGAGGACGTCGCGCTGTGAGCTTATTGGGGAGGGTTTTAATAACAGGGTCTTTGGGGAGGGAAGGGAGGGAATTCCTTTGAGATTTAAGGTTCATCCCTCAGCTTGGCCAGGTGGGCAAGGCCGTTCACTCTTCTTATATTCTTTGACTTCTTCATTCTCCCCCTTCGCCCCTTGTCCGGATCTAACACCAAGAAGTGTCGAAAGTCCAGCCTGGGCTACACCTCCCTGGTGGGCAGTACCAAGGCCGTCGGTGCTGTGGGGGTGGCAGGGTGATGTTTGAGGAGACGGGGGGCCGAGGCCAGCCCTGTGGGTGTGGGGTACCTGTGCCCTCACAGCTGTCGACACTGAGGACATGGCAGAGAGCACGCTGACAAGGTCCACTTCAGGACCTGCCCAGGTGGGGAGGAGGCAGTGGACGAATACGTATGCTGACATATGTCCACAGCTCTGCGACTGAGGCTAGCTGCCCCTTTGTCAGTCTTTGTTGGTAGCTGTGGGGAGAGGCTGGGTTTGCAGATCCAAAGCAGAGAAACACCCAGCCCACACAAGGTGCCGTGGTAGGCCAGCAGGGTTCCTGGGGACCCCGACACATGAACATGATGGGAACTGTGACTTGTATGCACGAGAGCTCCCTAAGCCCCTCTGTCCTCCTCACAGGGTGACCGTGGCTTTGATGGCCTGGCCGGATTGCCGGGGGAGAAGGGCCACCGGGTAAGTGTCCCATCGCTGAGGCCTGAGGGGTTTGGTGCAGCAAAAACATCTGGGGGAGGCCCTTTAGAGAGCCTCGGACTCCTGGTGGGTGGGTGGTGCCTCCACTCTAGAGAATCTGCTGGAATTGGGATGTACTGAATGCTGAGGTGACCCCTCTGTGCATGGAAGTCACCCCAATATGGTGTTTCAGATCTCAGTTCATAGAGAAACAACCATCAGCTTACTCACTGCAGGGGCGGGGAGAGGGGGAGAGGGATACCGTGTTTTCAGGCAAATCACACACACACACACACACACACACACACACACACGTGCGCGTGCGCTGTGTGTATTTTCTGCAAACCAGGAATCCCCTTTTGTGTTAGCTTTTGCACTATATGTGTGAAAGCCAGCACTAAGCACGATGCCTGTGTGTGTGTGTGTGTGTGTGTGTGTGTGTGTGTGTGCTGTCCTTGTTACCTGGGTGTTACTTTGTATGCACGTGCACGTCATTTCTAAGGCACATTATATGCAGAGATACTGTAGCCCTTCCCCTCACAAGTCCTTTGTGCTGACTGTGGCCTCAGGCCCCAGTAGCGCCAGTGGCTGCTGTTTTTAGAGCTGCTAAGGGAACCTGGCCCCTTTAGATGGAGACCCTGAGGGGTCAAGGACATTTGAGTGTCTGCTCCAGTTGATGAGGGTGCTGTTAGGGTGCTGTCCTCAGCACCAGACCTACCCCCACCGCCCTCCCCAGGGAGTTTGCTCTGTGAGGAGGCTCCGGCCAGCCCTGACTGAGTCACTTTCTGGGGCACATCTTCATCCTCCTTGGATGGGCACTTGGGGTCAGGAGAGGGTCCCCCAGGCTGGCTCAGACATGAGGAAGGCTGCTGTCTTAGGATGCAGCTTCCAAGGAGGCTTCCGGAAAGGCTTCCTGCACCAACCATCTACTGTATCCTCTCCCGCCGGGCAGCTCCTCGGAGTCCCTGTGCCCGCACTGTGATCTGCCTGGGTGGCCGTGTCATCCTCCACGCTGGCCAGAGAGACCGCCTGGCACAGCCTTCCCTCCTTGTCCTTGGAGCAGATGGCACAGCTGCTGTGCTCAGGCGTGTTGTGGACTTGTGTGTGTGTGTGTGTGTGTGTGTGTGCGCGCGCGTGCGCGTGTGCACATGCACACATACACACACACTCACTCGAAAAGGAAGGGTTGAGACCAACTGGGTGAACCACCAGGGTGGCTGACACCGCCTTTGTTTCTAGGGTGACCCTGGTCCTTCTGGCCCGCCTGGACCCCCGGGAGAAGATGGAGACAGGGTAGGTATTTGGTGCCACCTCAGTGGGACTGAGGGTGGAGTCCAGGCTGCTGTGACCACTGCGCAGCCGAAGGCCTGCGTGCTGGGGTGGGGCTGTGAGCCCAGGGCCCTGAGCCTGCAGACTGCCTGGTGTGGAGAGAGGCTGCCCAGGACTTAGAGGTCAAAGCTGAGGGCCAGCGCACACTGTTGTATGTTATTTCTGTTGCTGGTGTGTGGAGCCTGGGAGTGATCTTCAGCCGTCAGGAGTGCAGGACAGATATACCTGAGGCCGGAGACAGGTGTCTCATGTCCTATCAGCAAGGAGAGAGTTTTCAGGAGTGCTGAGAGGTCCCGGCTCAGCTCACCCCCGTCGTTCTGATTGAAGGAGGCTGGCACGTGGGGAAGGGCCAGGGGTGGGGCAGGAGGCTTGCAGGAGCGTCTATCTCAGGCCGGCACTGAGTGTACAGTCCCTGGTGTCTGTGTGACCAGGAGGACCAGAGGGTGCTGTCCCAGGTTGGGGCAGGACCCGAAGGCCGGTTCCAAATGGATTTGTGCCCGGACCTGGGCTGTCCTGTCACGTGGACCTTGGGAGATGAGGCTCCGTATTTGGTTTAGACTGTGGTGTGGGATGAACCTGACTGTGAACTTGAAGCCTTCTTCCTGTGGCCCTGGCTACAGTCACTCACACAGTTTAGGGGAGCGTTAGAGGTGTTTTCCGGAAAAGTTTAAGAGGTGCCGTCAGTGAGAACTAGGATCAGGTGAGCATCCGAAGAAGTCATTGACCCTCACCCAGGCCTGGCGTGTCTGTTGGTAGAGGAAGAAGCAGAGGGCCTGGGATAGGTACCCCGAATTCTGTGCTTCTCCAGGCAGAAGTGTGCGTGTGCAAAGCATGGCTGGTCCTGGTTTGCTCAGGCCAGGCCGTGTTTGGATCCTGGTGGAGACACCTGGCTCCCAGCCTTGACCACGGTCCTTGTGGTTCTCGTGAGCACGTTCCAGGTGGTGTGGACCTGGGGAAGCTGCCATGGGCAGCTCCGGCCTGCTGGCCAGCCTGTGCAGCATGTCCCCATGACCTGTCCTCTCTCCACAGGGCGATGATGGAGAAGTTGGCCCCCGAGGTCTTCCTGGAGAGCCAGTAAGTCCTCGCGCTGGGTGGAGCTGTGGTCAGACCCCTGCGATGACCTTTGGGGACTGCTTTGGAGCACTGTCTAGAGGGGGCATGGGGTGGACACTGCACCAGGGTCCTGGCTGGGAGCAGACAGAGATGCAAGCTTGTGGAAGGTGCATCCCTGATACCCTCTGAGAGGATCTGTGGCCACATGGGTGGTCCCAGGCCACAGGCGGAGTCAGGGTGCAGCTTGGGGGTGTCCAGGCTGTGTTCTAAGGGGATCTTCAAGCCATATTCTCAGCAGTGTTTCTGGGCTTTGTCATGTGCAGATCTCATCACGGGGTTCATACTGCAGCACAGGGGTCCATACCACATCATAGGGGTCCAAGCGTATCATATGGGTCCAGGCCACATCGTGGAAGTCCAGGCCACCTTATAGGGGTCCTCACATCACAGGGTCCAGGCCACTTCGTGAGAGTCCAGGCCACCTTATAGGGGTCCTCACATCACAGGATCCAGGCCACATCATGGGAGTCCAGGCTGCATCATGGGGGTCTAGGCCATATGACAGGGTCCAGATCATATCACTGGTTACAGGCTGCCTCATGGGGTCCAGACCGCATCATAGGGTCTCTCCAGGCTTCAGTCTTAAGACTAAACCAGCCGAGTTAGACCCCTTCTGATGTCCACCCTTCTGGAGCAGAGCACTCGACAGCCTTCTCCGACCCGGGTGTGGAAACACTCCTCTCAGACGCCTTCATTTTTAAGGCCAAAATATCGTCCTTGGCAACAGCAGGACATTAATCACTTCCCACCTGCTGCTGTTTTGCAAACGCCCCCCTCATCCTCCCTGTCTGCGTGCCGTGGATTGATGGGGAGATACCCACTTGGTGGAAGGCAGAGGCCCAGCGTGATGGCACTGCCCGTCCGTACCCAGTCCCACCCTCGCTGTCCACCCAGCTGCTCAGGCAGATTCGTCACACAGCATGTTCTTATTACAAGTCTCTGCGGTGCCCTCTGGGCTGTTAAGTCCTGAAAAACACGTATGTGAGTCGGTATTAAGATAATGACGGCAGTGGTTAAGTGTCAGGATTTCTCGTCTGTGGAATCACACAAGGTTCTATAAAAGGAAAGACTCTTAGTCAGGGGCCTGGTCACTGGCTAGTTAGCGTCTAGGTAGCAAGTGGGTATGGGCGTTCACCCACCTCAAGAACCTGGCCCTGCACATCCACATGTACCTCTCAGTCTACAAAGGGTGCGAACCAGCTCAGTTCTAGGGGCCACCCCAGGTAAGCTCCGGCTTCTCTCCAGGGACCTGTTCAAGCTGTCACCAGCCGAGACCTCACCTCTCCTGCTCTTCCCAGCACACCTCAGTTCTCTGAATCAGGAGCCCCTTTGCATATATTGGCCGAAAGGGATACAGTTGCTGGTGATAGCCACACACAGTGACCCTGTGCAGCCAGCGTGATCGAGTGACATGGCTCTGGGAAGTTTCTGTGCCATCTGCCATGTGCAGGTGGACCCGAACCTGCCCACTTTCAAGGACTTCTTAAAGACACTCTTCATCCCCCTCTGAACTCCTCAGTTTCAGGCCTGGCACTCTGAGCTCACAGCACAGGCCAGCAGGCAGGGAGGGTGCCCAGGGACCTGAGCCAGTCCAGTCTCCCTCGAGGGCATGTGGGGCTGAGGGCAGAAGGATTTGCCTGGAGAAGTGGGAGACAGGATGTGCACTGGAGTCGAGGTGACGTTTCCTTGCTCTACCCTCTTGCAGGGCCCTCGAGGTCTGCTTGGGCCAAAGGGGCCCCCAGGCCCTCCGGGGCCTCCGGTAAGTCCTGCTGCATCCTTGCCTTGTCTGTGTCCATCTCTGCTTTGAAATCAGTTGCAGAGCTGGTGGTCCACTTGGACTTTCAGGCTCCTCATTTAAGCTTACATCGTGCATGCCCGCTTGTGTACGTGAGGCATTAACAGGCCTCTGAGTCCCCAGCAACAGATGCAGCTGCAGCCAGTGGGGTTTGTTGAGCCTACACAAGCTGGCCCACAGCGCTTTCCCCGCCTGGCTGCCTCCTTTCTCAGCACATAATCTGGTGTTTCTACACCCACTAACTCACCACGTTTCCTACCTGCATGCAAGGCATCCCAGCAGGAGCCCCGAGGCCTGAGTCCAGCCTCACCAGGGCTGCGCCCGCTCCTCCGATCTTCCCAGTCCCCAGGCTCCTTTCCCGAGGCTGAGGGCCTGCCTGGGTGCTGTTCAGGGCCCCCGTGGCTGAGGGTGCTGGGACTGCGAGAGTGGGGGCAGTTTAGGACCCATCCTTGCCCTTTGATTAAAGGGTGCCCACCCTTTGATACTCTCAGTTACGTCTGCATGGGGTACGGCCCCTCTGAGCCTCGTGTGTTCTCTACATCCACTCTTTCCTTCTCCCCATCCCCAGGGTGTGACCGGCATGGACGGCCAGCCTGGTCCGAAAGGAAATGTGGTGAGTCCTGGGGGGCTGTGCCTCAGCTTTGGATGTACGTCCCTGCACAGGAGGTGGGGGCTTGTTGATCTCAGGAGAGGATAAGCCTGTAAGGGGGGCCCAGACTCCTGGCCGCCCCCCACAGTACACGTCCTTCACTGGAAATGCCCCTCGAACCCAAAGCCAAGTGTCTGATCCACACTCCATCGCAAACCAGGTCCAGGCAGAGTGCACAGGGAGTCAGTTCCTCATGGTGCCCACCAGGCGGGTGGTGCACACAGCTGTGCTCAGTCCCATCAGCTCCGCCCCCAGGGAGAGACTCCGCCTCCAGGATAGGCCCTGCCTACAGCGACAGGCTCCGCCCCAGGAAGAGGCTCCACCCCCAGGGGATAGCTCCACCCCCAGGGGTGGGGGCATAGTGTCACCTTCCAGGGTGCCTGGGAGACTTTATGTAGGCACCCACGATGGGACAGTGGATGGTGTTTTGCGCTGCTGACTGCCGAGTTGATGGCTCAGGTTCACCCAGAGCGGCTGTGGCAGGCTGTGGGAGGCCACTTTTTAATCTGCTTCCTTGGGAAGCCCACAACAGCCCAGCCCTGCCTGTATGGGATGCTGGAGGCAGAATGGACTCCTTGCCAACTGGCTGTTTAACTCGCGGACGTCTTGAGTGTAGCAGGGCAACCTGGTAATTCCCTCCCAGATGAAGTGTTTGGAAGAGTTCCTTTCATGATCACAGCTGCACCCTCACACCAAGACTCCTCACAGGGGGTGGGTGCTGTGTGTGAGGAGGTCCCCAGCTGGAGTTGCGCCCCATCCTGTCTAGGTCGTTTTGGTCCATCTGGTACTGTTTAGGGCCGAGACAAGCTGACCAAGAAGACAAGTGATCCACAGGGGTGTGGGGAGACCCAGGGGCAGGGTTGGCTCTGGTCCGCCTCCTCCAGCCCTTCTGCAGATCCTTGCTTTTCTCTCCCCCAGGGCCCACAGGGAGAACCTGGCCCCCCAGGCCAGCAGGGTAATCCAGGTGCCCAGGTAAGAGAGCCTGGGGATACACAATGGCCAGGTGTGGGAGTGGGGTGCTGTGTTCAGATGCAGTAGCTAGACGGCAGCAGACCCTGGGCTCTCTCTGCTATCTTCCTGGTCCGTGGCAGCTGCAATGGGAGGTGACTGGGCTTAGCGAGCTGGAGATGGTAGAGGGAAGGTGGGCAGAGGGGTTCTGCTTCCGCTGTGCCCTGACCTCTTCCATCTAATCTCTCTTCACAGGGTCTTCCTGGCCCCCAGGGAGCCATTGGGCCCCCAGGAGACAAGGTACTGGCCTGAGCGTGACTGTGGATGACTGTGGTGTGAGCCAGGGAGGAGCTGGGCATGCCTGAGTCCCGGGTGCATCTGGGGCAAAGGGCCCTGTCACTTCATGGCTGAACTCAACTATGATGAGAGAAGCATTGAGCTTTGACTTCCCTGTATCCATGTCTCCATTCCTTCACCCACCCTCGCCACATGTCTGGGATTACCAGAGATAGAAACCGCCCCCCCCCATTTAAATGTAAGCTGTTCATTGCTTATCTGAAATCCAGACTGAAACTGGATGTCTTGTATGGGTCTGTGCTTTCTGTGTGTGTTTGTCTGTGTCTGTGCCACTTTGCGTCATGTGTGTGTGCTCTGTGCGCCGGGCGCGTGCTCTGTGCGCTGTGTGTGTGCTCGGTGTGCCCTGTGTGTGCTCTGTGTCCTGCATGTCTGTGAGGGCTCTGTGTGTCTGTATGTTTATGTCTGTGGGCATCTGTGTGTGTCTGTGCTAGTATTTCTGTGTGTCTGCATGTCTGTGTGTGTTCTCTACATGTCCCTGTGTGTCTCTGTGTTCTCTATGTGTATATCTGTGTGTACCTGCATGTCTGTGTATCTGTTCATGTCTGTGTTCTCTGTGTGTCCCCCCTTGTGTCTCTGTCTGTATTCTGTATGTATCACACTGTGTGTGTCTGAGTCGGGGTGTGTATCACTCTGTGTGACTGTGTTCTGTGTTTTTGTCTATGTTCAGTGTGTGTCCCTGTGTGTTTCTTTGTGTCGCTATCCATGTGTCTGTGTGTGTATTACTGTGTGTGTCACCATGTGTCTCTGCGGGTGTATTCTGTGTATATATTACTGTATGTCTCTCTGTGGTTCTCTGTGGGTGTATTCTGTGTGTGCCACTACGTGTTTCTAAGTCCCATGATGTGTCTTCAGAGCCTGTCCCTGTGTCCCACTCCTGGGGGAGTGGGGAACCTCAGGACCATGAGGCCAGCCCTGCCTTAGCTGTGGGCACCCTGGGCACCAGATGCTTGCTAATCCACAGGCCTGGTTGGACAGCACAGTTACTTCTCACTAAGGGGCTTCTCAGCGTGTCAGCAGCCTTGCGGCCTTGTCCAACACAGGCCTCCCCCAGCCCAGGTTGCTGACATAGTGGGTGAGAGAGGGGACCTGCATTTCTAACAGGTTCCCCAGGACACTGTGGGTGCTGGTCTTTGGGGGACCACTTGGGAATGTGCTGCCTCAGGGCCATCTGCCCCATGACCACGCAGATCCAGATGGACACAGGCTGGAGCTGTCAGGTGGTGCCCGTGGGGACAGCAGGGGTGGCTAGCCCTGGGAGGTAGGCAGAGGACCTCCAGGCTTGTTTTTACAGAGCCTGTGCTTTCTTTTGTTTTCTGCAGGGACCCTTGGGAAAACCAGGGCTTCCAGGGATGCCTGGCGCTGATGGACCACCGGTGAGTCCCCCCGCACACTGCACCCCTCCACCCTGCCCCGTGTCCACCCTGGAACTGGGGACTTGGCCCAGGCCGCCTCCCCACAGTTTGAATGCCCAACCGGTGGGCAGCTTGCTTGCCATCAGTTACCAGTTTGGGCACGCTCCTCTGAGCACCTTTCAGTCAAAGGGGGCAACTGTTGGTGGGCACGTGAGTCATCGCTGGTGCGTGCAGTGCGTTTGTCTCCAGGCCCTGTGCGCGTCTGTAGCTCTGGGGACGTTGGCGGGGGTGTGAGAGGTGGGACGGGGCGCTGCCGTGTGAAACACAGGGGCGGGGTGTATATTTTTGCTTTTCTTCCACCAAGGTGGGAGGTGACGCACACAGACTTCACAATGTGTTAACGCACAGCTGTGCAGACAAGTCAGATGCCACCTAGAAATAGCAGGTGGCTGGCAGGTCGCGACTGTCGCGAGGCGAAGGAGGGCGGCTGTGGGTGTGTGGCACGTGGGGATCGCCCACCCCGCGTTCTCCCTAAGCTGCTGCCGGAGTTCCGTCCGTGCTGAGGAGAGACCTTGAATCAGAAGACAAGCAGAGCCAAATTAATTATTTAAGGCACGACGCATTTTATGGTTTTAATAACCCCATTTAAAACCCTCAACAAGGACGTTAACTGTGTTAATCTAACTGGTGACGCTTTGACACGCGGCTGTCTATTTCTGTCTCTGTGGTGGAGGACCAGGTGGCCCCTGGTTCTCATGTCCCAAGACAGCACATCACGGTCGCAGTCAGGTCCACGTGACCAGCTACTCAGGGGACTTCCTGGTCAACGGCCCCATGGAGCCTCCTGGAGAGAGACTGATGTTTTGAGCAGTGTTGTTTATAGCTTCTGATACACATTTACACTTAATTGCATGTGCTAATTATAAGATCAGCACATCCTGTTATGGAAAATAAAGTGACAGTACAGTGCAGTCCCCCCCACCCACCCATGGCACTGCTGAGTGCTGGCTGCTGGCAGCCGGTGGAGGCGGACCCTTCCAGATGTTTGTTCCCTTTGTTCCCTTTGGGATTGATGGGACAGGAGGGATCCTGGGTGTGCAGAGGGGAGAGTCCACTGGGCGTGGGAAGGGCCACTTGTAAGATGGGAGCTGTCCCTTGGGGTCCACAGCCGCCCTTACCCTCCCAGCGCTGGAATCTCTCCCCACGTGGACACCTCCAATAGTGAGGGGCCCTGAGAAGCCACTGGTCTCCTTCCTGTCCTTTATGGACAGAGGTGCCTTCAAGGTGCCCTCTGTACTAGAACCAGTAGGTTTTGGGGTCCCCTTGGAGTGTGGCTAAGCTGGCTCATTGGCGTTGTGGGGTTCCCTTGAGTTGGTGCCACCTCATTGACTCCATGTGTGACAGAGACACTGGCCGGTCCTGCACTCAGCTGTCCCGAGCTCATCATTTCCGCAGCCGCCGTGTTGGTTCAGCTCCTTGAGGGACTTCCTATTTTCTACCGACTCTCTGCAGGGGAACCCTTCCTGATAACGTGTCCAAAATACCCTGTCCATCCTGGCTTCTAAGGCTCGTCTGGCCGCACGCCTTCTTGCTTGTTCTTTTGGCATCTGAGGTTTGTTCTGTGTTCTTCATGACACTGTAATTCAAATGCACCGGTTCTTCATTCATTGTCACCTTCCATGTACACGCAGGGCGGGGATCAGGCACCCTTAGTCCTCAGAGTGGCTTCTTGGGTTTTGAGCACTTTAAAGAAGGTCTTCTGTGGCACATTTGCCCACTGCAAGATGCTGTTTGATTTCTTGGTTTCTACTTGTGCGGGTGTTGATGGACATTGAAGGTACTTAAGACAAATACAGCAGGGACAAAGCTCTGAGCTCAGAGAAGCAGGTCCAGGTGTCATCTAGGTTTAGAAGGGAAAAAGATGAAAAGTGTTATCATTTAAAAGCAATGAAAACCCAGATACTGCCTCGTGGTGGCTGATGTGTGAGAGGAGAAGTGGGCTACATGTTGTGCTCAGCACTGAGCTTTTAGAAGTAGGTTGCCAGGTCTTTCTTCCTAGGTGCCTCTGAGTGGACTGAAACTTTTAACCTTTGGGTCAGCGGCTAATGAACACATCAATTTTCTGAATCTTGCAGAGACTCCCCACAGGCAACACTTTGTTAATAAACCGGAAAGAGAGCGGTTTTTGTGTTGTGGGCTTTTTTCTTGGTTGGTTTAGTTTTGGTTGAATGAGGGAAAGAAGGAAGACAGGAGGAGGTGCTGTAACATCCGTCTAGAAGTGAGGGGGGTCAGACACACTCGGAATGCTTTCTGCGTGCCCTGGATGTCCAGAGAACGGCCACAGGAGGGAAACGGTTACGTGCATCTTGGCCCCGTGGAATATTATGGAGATAGTGAAAACTGGATTTCCAGGACTAGGCAGTGACATGAGAAAGCACTCACAGGCCAGTATTCAATTAGCGTCCACCGCGCGGTGCAGTTCCGTGCTGTGTGTACAGAGAGAGTGCGTTAGCGGGGCAGGCGTGCCAATTAGCCGTGGTTGCCGCCGAGGGCTGAGGCTGCGAGGGGTTCCATCTCCTCCCCCTTCCCTAATGAGCATATATTACTTTTTTAATCAGAAAAAAAATCAAATACAGATGATTTAAGCTTTATTATTTTTCCATTACAAAAGGGATGCTTATTATAGGGCATTGGGAAGTGCAGACAAAGGCAAAGAGAATAAAATGTCCGGCTTCTTGTTGGAAAATCGATTCTGCTTGTCATTTGGGATTATTTTCTTTAAATCCTATTTAAGAATTTAAAATACATGACATTTCTATTCCAAGATTTTTAGTGAGAGACTTGTGTCCTCTTTTTGCCCCGTGCAAAGTTATTTTCATTTTACAAACTCAACTTCAATTGTACCAAAGGACAATGGGGTCACTGGCTGGTACCAATGGTTACCACGCTGGCTGCTTACTCAAAGGTAGGACGTTCGAGCCCGCCCGAGGAGTATTGGGAGGAAGACCTGGGCATCTGCCCAATGCCCACAGGGTTCTGCGTGTTGAGATTGACCAGACGGTGACCGGTTAAGGAAGCGTGGCCTCAGTGCGGATGATAGTGATGACCACAGCCTCTCATCACCATCTGCAGGGTGGGCACATGGACCAAGTCCACCAGTGGCTTTGTGGGATGTGTTACTGTGTCCCGCAGGTGACCCAGATGTGAGGTCTGTTCCCAGATGGGCTGCTCCTGAGCTTTGACCGCCCAAGGGCCACACACCCTGGGTCTTGCAACAAACACCTTGTAAACAGAACTAGAAAGAGCCCTGGTGGTGTAGGGTGTGCTATGTGTGCTGCTAACCTGAAGATCAGCAGTTCAAATCCACCAGCTGTCCCTTAAAAGATGGGTGATTCTCTCCCATAAAAGGTTTATAGCTTCGGGATCTTGGTGGAGGGTCCTTCCGAGCGGAAACTGAGTCTGGTCTTGTGAGTTTGGTGTGAGGTTTAAAGGGTAATAAAGGGCCACCAAGATCCCCAAAGTGGCCGGAGGGACAGACTCCATGCTCCCCCCACCCCTATTCCACCTTGGGTCAAGCCGTGCTGCTGGGGCCCTCACTCCAGGGTCGCACCCCGTTGGCACAGCGGGCACAGCGCACTTGTGCTCACCCATCGGCCGTGAGCAATTGAATGGTGCCCGCTGTGAAATTGTTCCCGACACGTTTGAATGTAAGCACCCCCCACCGGGCCCACCGCCCTCTTCGGAGGCTACACATCTGGAAAGAGCCTTTGGTTCTATGGGAGGGACAGTGGGATCGGGAGGGAGACAGATGCCAGCCATCCTCCAGGCACCATCTCCGGTGTGTGATCGTTCCCGCTGATGAGTCAACACAAGCCTGCCTGTGTCCCCGGGACGTAGGTGCTCAGACATGCCTGCCCCGCCTGCCTCCTCCGGGCACGTGCAGGTTGGACCTTGCAGGCCGATGCCCCAGGCCTTGACCATGGGCCCCCTTGGGTATCTCCTCCCCCAGCAGAGGGACATGCGCTTCTCCAGCCCCCTTCTCCAGAGCTCTCCGCTGCCAAAGGCATCAGCTCCAACTGCACAGGATCAAAGAGAAGAGAGACTCATGACCTTAGGGCTCAAAGCAGAGGGTCTGGGTTTCTGTGTCACAGCTGTGATGAGGGCCGTGGGCCTAGAGCGTGGTCACGTCCGTGTCCCAGCCCCGTGTGGAGGCAGGAGGTGGGGGGTCTGGGCTGTCACCCGGCTTGTTAGCATGCCGACGAGGAAGCAGAGCTGATCACACTGACTTCAGAGGGGCCGGTGACTAATAGAGACTTCTCTCTCATGACAGGGACACCCCGGTAAAGAAGGTCCCCCCGGAGAGAAAGGAGGACAGGTAAGCACTGCACCCCAGCTCCCTGGCTCTGGGCTCCACCTCTGTACCCTGAGGGGACAACAGTGCCAGCCCCTCATCAGGTGTCCCTACCCGAGAGCTACCACACAGAGGGGGCTCTGCCATCCCTGCCTGGTCACCAGGCCTGGACCCTCGGGTCAGCATCCACAGTGTCTGCAGTGTGAGCTTGACTGTGACCCAGCCTGATGATAGTGCAGGTCGTGGGGTGAGAGTGTGGGGAGAAGGAGGCAGATGCTGAGGGGGAGGGGCTGGAGGGGCCAAACGCTGACACAGGGACAGCTCCGACTGACCTTGGAGATGCGGGGGATTCGCGGAGCCAGAGTAATGCACATAGCGCAATAGACGCGTGCCTGGTTCCTGGGGTTCGCATGCTGTAGCCTGGGAAACGTGCACTGGTGTGATGAAAAGCTTGAAATATTTAAGGAGGTAACAGGTGTGACGCAGTGACGTGAAGTGAGTGCGCCCCTTTGGAAAATGCTGCTGTTGGACTTGCCGGACGCCGGGCTGCCCCAGGACCCCCGGGTGTTAAATGGCACAGCGTAGGCAAAGTGAATTCAAGTGAAACGAGGTGGCCCTGTGTGCGAGTGGGGCCCACTCCTGCCCCCCATGCCGAGGTGCTGCCTGCCCCAGATGCTGCTAACGGTCTTTCCCTCTGGTTTTAGGGTCCACCTGGCCCTCAAGGTCCAATTGGCTACCCAGGCCCCCGAGGAGTCAAGGTGAGCATCTTGGGGCTCCAGGTCTACTTGAGGTTGAGGTTGGGTCTGTGGGGCTGGGCTTGGTGTTGGAGACCCACCAGACATTGATCCTCGGGGCCCGAGCTGGGGTAATCTGGGTCCCGGCCGCTTGAGTTGGTGATGAGACCGGCCCGTGGACATGACGGGCAGGTTTGGAGCAGAGGACGCTCTCAGATCAGGTCGTGACAGCACGGCTGTGCATGGGACCCTCCGTCACCCTCAGCCTCCTGCCTCTCCCTGCTTCCTGCTCTTTGTTTGCTAGGTCCCAGTCGGTGGCTGTAAAGATGAGGGGGCGTTTCCTCATGGCTACGAGGCTGGAGCTCTGGCCGGGGAGTTCAGGAGTTGTGCTGCTAACCCGTAACTCGCCTCTCCGCGGGTTCAAATCCACCAGCCGCTCCTCAGGAAGAAGGTGGACGTTCTCCTCCAGGCGAGGTTACAGCCCCTGGAGGGTCGGCTGAGAGTCACTTCTGACTCGACAGCAAGGAGTTTTGGCCTTTTGGGTTTTTTTCCCCCCAGAAGGCTAGAGGTCTGAATTTGGCGTAGCCTGAGGAAGGCTACCCCTGTCAGCTCCAGGGGAAGGCTCTTGTCTCTCCTTCTATACCCCGATATCCCTCGGCAACCCCGAGTGCATCTGTTCCCCTATCTGTGCTCTGGCCTGTGTCCAGTGCGTTCTTTGTGTCACTCTGTAGTGGTCAGCAGTGGGGCACTGTTGTGGCCTCATTACATAACAGAGGTCTTGTTCTCAGACAAGCTGGCATCAGCTGGTCAGGATTCCAACAGAGCCTTTTGGGGACACAGTTCCGTCCATGACTCGCTGTGTCCACGCCCTGCTGCTGACCGAGGCCTCTCGCCCACTCCCGCTCGGGGCTCCTGCCTGTCCTTCAGGCCGTTTTCACATTCACGGCATGAGCTGTTGCGTTGGCATCGGGCCGGCCGGCTTGGTGGTGAAGTGCGGGGAGATGTCTGCTTATGCACGTGTTGCTGCTGTTTAAGGCTCCGGGAACCTTGTTAAAGGCACCCAGAGCTCCAGAACAATAATCCAAACACGGGCTCCGGCGGCTTCTTCCACTAACTGGGTTTGCTCTGAGCCGTGCGAGTCTGTCTCACCATGTGCTGCCCCTTGGGCACTGGCGGGCCCATCTCTATGCAGAGGGCTGTGCAGGAAAGCTCTGGTGGCCCACTGGCTAAACACTTGAAGGCTAACTGAAAATTCGGTGGTTCAAACCCAGCAACTGCTGCTGGAGACAAAGATCTTTAAAGACAACAGCAGAGGAGACCCTCGGGGTCAGTCCTGCTCCGTCCTCCAGCATCACTGGCCCTCGGTGGCCATCCAGTGCACCCAGGCTCTCAAAGTGACCGTGGAACCCTGAGCTTCGATGGTCCCACCAGTTCCACATTAGAAATCTGTGCACGGTGAGGACCCCCACCCAGAAGCACTGCTCACATCAGCACCTGCTCTCAGCCCTCGGGACCCTCACCTCCAAGGCTCAGATTGAAGATGTCCCAATGCAAGGACCACCAGAGAGAAGCATCGCAGCGTCTTGGAGCCGTGGACACAGTGACGCTCCCTCCGCAGTCTGCATCTTCCTGTATGTCTTGTGCATTTTATACGGGCGATAATTTAGCAGAAATGCTCATTATGGCAGCTCCAAGCGTGTTTATTTTACAGATTTTTGCCACATAGCCAAAGCCTTTGCCAGCTACCATACGTGGCTAATTGCATAAAGCTGCTTCTGCAAACGGAGAAGGTGTTTGCTTTAAATGTTTGTGAGCAATGCTCTTATCTTGTCGATCTGATGAAAAGCCATGCTCGACATGAGCAATCCGCTCAGACTTGGAAGCAGAGGGTGGAAGGAAGTCGATTCCAAGCTGTTTTCACAGGAGCTGTAGGTTCTGAGGCTGCTGCGCATTTGAGAAGGGAAGTGACGCCCACAGCCTGATGGGCCGGGCTGGCGGGGATTGATGGTTTCCTGTCGCTGTGCTGTGCAGAAGAGTGTCCTTCGGCGGGAATGCTCATCGTCCTTCCTCAAAGCCTGCTTTCTTCTGGAGAAGAGGCCCCTTGGGCTTTGTTGAGCTTCGGGCTGCCCATGCCCTTGGTCTTAACCCTTAATGAAGGGTGTCTGATAGGGTTTGGATCGGCCAGCTGCTCCACGGGAAAGATGGGCGATCTCTTCCCGTGTGATTTACTGTCTCTGAAAGCCAACTGGATTGTCAGCTGTGGGTCGATTCAGCGTGATGGCACACGCCGACAACAGCGGCACATAATACACATTTTTTCTCTGTTTATGAACAGTATCTGGACTTGACGCAGATCCCAGCCGTACCGGCAGGATTCCACATCTCTGGGTCTGAGTGACTCCTCTAGGCCTGAACCTCCTTCCTGTCCCCTGTTGCCAGCACCCACCCATGCACTGCTGCCGAGTTTATGTGGACCCAAGGTTGCTGTCCCTTGAGTCCCTGCAGCTGTAGATCTCAATGCCAGCAGCCTGCCTCATCATTCCCCAAGGGGGATTTGAACCACTCACCTCATGGTTAGCACCATGCCACTGGGGCTTCTGTTTGCTGGAACACTGGGGATTCAGTCACAGTGTAGTCCAGTGGTTCTCCAGCCCCAGGGGACCTTGGCCATGTCTGAGGACATTTCTCATTGTCACACCTGGAGGTGCTGCTGGCATCTCTTGGGTGTGCCCAGGTGTGGTGGTGACTGTTAGAAGAGCGGTCTTGTCACTGGTGGTACTGCAGCAAGGTGGGGGTGGTGGGGAGTGCCCCACTGCGGTCTCTCCTACTGCCCAGCCAGGGATCCTGCACTGCCCCTTCCTGGATACCCTTGAAGCCAGAGCTACAGAACTGGGAGGGCCGGACTGTGGAGTCACTTTTCCTGCCACACCCCAACTCTGAGGATATTCTCCCCTCTCCAGTCTCCCTCACCCCTCTCTACCCGCCCTCTCTCCATATCCCTCAGCCCCTCCTGCTATCTTTTCACCCCTCTTACCCCCTCCATGCCACCTCCTCACCTCCACCCTTCCTTCCATCTCTCCCTCCGCCTCCCCAGCTCCCTTTCCCACTCCTCTCCACCCGTCCCTCTCCCTCCCCCACACTCTTCCCTTCTCTTTCCTCCCCTCCTTGTATCTCTATCTCTATCTCCCTCTCTCCCTCCTTCTTTCTCCACCCCATCCTCCCTCTCCACCCCTCCCTCCCTCCTTTCTCTCACCCTCCCTCCACCCTGCAGAGAGCTTTGGCCACAAGGGGGCAGCAGTCAGCCTGCAGCCCGTCGGGGAGGGGGCTGCTGGGAGGGACCGACCGCTGCTAGAGGTGCCCTGGGCAGGTTCCCCTAGAAAGTCCAAGGTGGTCAGGGGTCAGTGTCCTTGGCACAGTGTCCCCTTGCTCAGAGGTGTAGAATATGGGATGTGGCTGCTTATCTCATTTTCTTGACCCTGGGTGTGTCCCCGTAACCCAGGGGGTCCCTGCTGTAGGGTCTTGATTCCTGGGAGGCTGGAAATTGTCTTGAATTATCATAATAATGGATATCAATGGTACTGCTGATTAGTAATTATCAGGGTAGTGACACTACCAGAGAGCTTACCCCCCCCCGTGTCTGTACCTACTCTTCATGACCGTCCACTGGGAAGGGCCCATCTTTCTCAGGGCTGCTGGTGGGTTCAGGCTGCTGACCTGAGTTGGGGAGAGTTGGTGTGGATGGGGCGCTTGGTGTGTAAGGGGGTCGCACTGTGTGGGACTCAGAAGAGGTGGACGACTCAGTGTGGTAGGGAGGCCCCAGTGTGAGGGCCGCTGTGGTGTGTGGGGGGGTATATGTGGGTGGGAGTGCAGTATCGGTGTGGGGGAGGCCATGTGAGCTGGAGGACTCTGTGGAACACAATAGGGAGGTCACTCTGTGTGTGTATGACATTCGGTGTCGGTGTGGGGGACGTGGTGTGAGGTGGAGGACTCCGGGGTGATAGAGCATGAGGAAGGCTCGGCACAGGAAGGGGGCTCAGTGTGGGTGGGGGGCTAGGTACAGGCTGGGGCATGGGTGTGGGTGTTGGGGCACAGGGTGGCTGGGAGCTCGCCTGACTCTCACACCAGCCCCGTGGGGACCACTAACTGCTCCCTGTCCCTGTCCTGTGTCCCAGGGCGCAGACGGCATCCGCGGCTTGAAGGGCACCAAGGGCGAGAAGGTGAGTGTGGCTGCTCCCCACCTGCAGCCTCTGGCCCCTCACAGGGCAGCCCTGTGATGACAGACTGGGTGAGGCCACTCCGAGTGTACCAGGAGCTGATGCCCCACTGGTGGGAGCGTGTCCATTTGCAAAGGAGAAGCGGTGAATAGACGGTCCATGGGCCGTCCCCCACCTAGTGACCATCCCTCCTGAGTGACCATCCCTCCTGAGTGACCATCCCTCCTGAGTGACCATCCCTCCTGAGTGACCATCCCTCCTGGGCAGCCATCTCACCTGGCGGCCAGGCCTGAAGAGGACAGAGCAGGACTGGCTCACATGGGCACTGAGGGGGCTGGACACTTCCTGGGCTGTGCAGACCCTGCCCTGAGCGCCTTCCCTCTGCGACTCGGCTTGTGTGGGGACACTTTTCCTCCTGTTCGCCTCCTGACACTCAGGCCCCTTCACTGACTGCTGGGTCTGTGGTGCTGAGTGGACACTGGAGCCATTCAGTGGACACTGACCATGCAGCCAGCCCTCCCCCTGCCCTGCTGTGCATACCTGTCAGGGCTGGAACCTCTCGCTGCAGCCACTGGCCAGAACACCTCCACAGAGGGTCCCCCTCCGTGAATGCAGAGGGCCTTACAAGGGTCCGGCTCAGGGGCGCACTGTGGGCACAAGACCCAGGGTGGGAGGTGGCCCTGCTGTGGGCAGGGGTCTCACTGTGCTGGGAACAGGCTCCTTCCTTTAGACTGAGGTCCCCCTTGTCCCTCTATCCAGGGTGAAGACGGCTTTCCTGGGTTTAAAGGAGACATGGGCATCAAAGGGGACCGGGTGAGTGTTTGGGGTGTTCAGTTGGAGAGTAAGGAAGAGCTAGGGGAGGGGTGAGGTACTGGGACCACTTCTTACAGGGGCCTCACCCGCAGGGTGCTGGGCAGGGTGGGGATGCTGTGTCCAGTTCTTGTTGGCCACATTCCTGGGGCCTAGGGACCAAGGACCCTGGTCCTGACTCCCCCGGGATGTGCAGTCAGTATGTGTGGGCCTGTCCCATTGAGCTGGGGGACCACGCGCTTTCCACCTACTGCACACTGGAGCATACGGGAGTGCTGGCTGGTGTAAGGGGTGTTGGCCGGAGTAGGGGGATGTTGGTCAGCATTCGGGAGACAGTAGTCTTGGTGATCGCCCAGCGATGCTGGTGTGAGGCTGCCCAGCAGTGGGCAGCTGCCCCAGGAACAGGTGCTCATGGGAGGGAACAGCTGCAGTTCGACAGGGACAGCAGGGTAGACGCCCAGGGACTCGCTCAGCCTGGCCCAGCTCCGGCCTCCCCTGGGCCAGCGCCCCCCGCCCACCCCCATGCAGCTTGATGTGGGACAAGGTAGGGGTGAAGCCCTTCTGTCTCTGGGGTGACGTCCTGTGGGCCCCCTGTCTCCCCTTTTCCGAGTAACTGCAGTGTAGCAGCAGACTGTGATTACTGCACAGGAACAAACAGGTGCGTTTAGAGAAGGTGAATCCAGAGCGCCCCCTGGAGACAAGATGAGGAAGCATATTCTTGGATTGGTGCTGGGAGAGGTGGTTCCTTGGAGAGGGACACCACGCTTGGAAAGGTAGAGGGACGGTGAGGAGGGGCCGACCGTCAACCAGGTGAATGGACAGTGACTGCAGGGTTGTTCTCAGGCGTGTGAGGACCGTGCAGGGCCGGACGGGACTCAGGCCTGTAGTTCACCAGTCACTGTGAGTTGTCCTCCACTCGGCAGCACCCAACAAGGACACAGTGCAGGTTAGAGGCCAGGCCCTGCCTCCTCACCTCCCAGGACTGCAGTGCCGCCCCTCCACAGCACAGGTTTATCCGCTCTGTGTGGGAAGTCGATCCTACAGACGTGACTACTAACCTGAAGGTTGGCAGTTCAGACCCACCCAGCAGCACCGTGGAGGAAAGGCCTGGTGATCTGCTTCTCTGAGATTACCGCTGGGAGAGCCCTCGGTGACAGTCCTGCTCTGCCCAGATGGGTCATCACACCTGCCGTTCAGGAGCAGGCTCAGGTGACCCACCCTCGGGTTTCCGTGGCCGGAAGCCTCAGTGAGAGGGGACTGCTCATATTTGTTCCATGGAGCAGCTCGTGGGTTTGAACTGCTGACCTTTAGGTTAATGGCCCTACACCTTATTTACAATACTATCAGGCTCCTTCACGCTCTGCGAGTCAGAGGGCACTGTTAGGTGACAGGCTTCATTGGGGCTCTTTTTCCTGCCTGGGCTTCTTTCTTGTTTTGGGGAGCAGCAGGTTCGAGCCCCTGTAGTTCACTAGGTATTTCACGTGAGAGCCCTTGATTTGATAGGGGTTGTTGTTGGAGGTGCAGTGTCGCCCTTGAGAAAGTCGCCAGCCCAAGCTCAGCCCCTGCTTCACGGTACAAGTGTGGCTTCTGAGAACCGCACAGCCGCAGACCGTCAGCGCACGGTGGCCAGCTGATGGGCTCACCAAGTGGCTCTTAGGACAAGCAAGCTGCCTGGGCTTCGAGCACCTGGGAAGGTGCTCGTGTGAGGGAGCGGAGTCTGCGCTCCCCCTCAACCCTTCCTCTCTGGCTCCTAGGGAGAGATCGGCCCTCCTGGTCCTCGTGGAGAAGACGGCCCTGAAGGTCCGAAGGGCCGAGGAGGTCCAAATGGTGACCCTGGCCCCCTGGGGCCCACTGGGGAGAAGGTAAGGGAGGTGGGGCCTGCGTGCTGGAATGGGGACCCTGACCTTACTAGACGCCCTGGACCCTTCTGCTCCTGGACTCAGCTGAGGCCCTGTGGTGAACTTGACTGAAAGCCTTGGCTTTGTCTCATCCCTGCATAGGCCTCAGGCTGTCCTCCCGTGGACACAGCCATGCTGTGTGTATGGATGGGACCCTCTGTCCACCTCCATGGAAAATGCCTTCCACAGGGGTGTCTGAGCTCACAGTCTGGCCCGCTGCCCCCAGGGGCATCCTCACCCGTGGATATGCCCTGTCTACTGTGGGGAGAGGACGGCTGGACGCCTGGCTGAAAAGGGCAGTCGACAGTATCCCCACCTCTAATAGCCTCAGAAACAGGGATGTCAAACTGCCCGCTGCCCTCCCTGGGCTAGAACTTGCTGACCACAGGTTAAGGCTCACAGATGTAGACGATGTGGGCATGGCCTCGAGCACTCTGGCTTCAGAGAGGCCATCTGGTATCTTCTGAAAAGGCCCTTACACACCAGGGAGGTGGTCTTGGGGCCCCTCACATATCATAGGTGCTCAGAGATGTCTCCCTGGAGGACCGGCAGGGGCCCCTGATGACCGTGCTCCTACCTTCATAAACCATGTTCCAGTCCTGACATGCTGACATCTGTCCATTCTGAGAAAAAGGCTTAAGAAACACCATTGACGGAACCCCATCTAATGCAATGCTTGTCTGTCCCCAGGGGAAGCTTGGAGTCCCCGGACTGCCTGGCTACCCAGGAAGACAAGGACCCAAGGTAATGGACACTGATGGCGTGGTGGCTTTCTGGTGCTCCTGGCAGGCCCTGGTGCCTCCAGTCTTGAGCACTGCTTCAGTGACTCTGGAGTCACTCTGGACACAATGTTTCCAGAAGCCCCTCACTTCTGCTTCCCTGTGCACACAGCAGGCTGTGGGTGTGCCCACTTGGGTGTGCACACGCTCGTGTCATCTGAGTGCACCTTACAGGTGTGAAGGAAGGCTGCTTGGTGTGCAGTGCATGCATGGCTGTCCTCACTTTGAAGGCAGCCATTCTTAATTCAGTGGCTTCCTGGGACGATAGGGAAGCGTGGTGACAGGGAGTGATAAGCAAAACGCCATCGTGTGTGATGTGCACCTCCTGATCTAAATCTATAGTGCTGTCCCTTCCTCCTGAGTCAGCAGCCGTATTCAGATGGGGGGGGTGTTGGAGGGTACGTGTGGAAGGATGAAGATTCAGTCTGAAATTTTTAATTTGGAGTCTCAGAGATAATCAGGGGGTATTTGATGGGTGGGTGGGAAAAATGGATGGGCAGACCCATGAATAATAACATGTGGGAACTGAGTGAGTCGGTGGGTAGGTGATGAGTGGGTGGGTGGGGAGAGGGCTAGCTGGATGGATGGATGGGAGATGTATGAGTGGCTAGAACGGTGGATGGGTGGAAGGATAAGTAGAAGGATGGATGGGTAGACGTATGAGGTGTGGATAGGAGATGGATGGATGGATGGGTGCATGGATGGATGGATGGACAGATGGATGGATAGATGGGTGGATGGATGGGCTGGTGGATGTCCAGGTGAGTGGATGGTGGGAGGCTGTGTGGGTGGAGTCTGTGTTGGGTGTTCACACACACACACACTCATCCTTCAGTGGCAGGTGCAGCCCCCTGCTCACACCGTCTCTTTATGCCTCTCCTGCAGGGCTCCGTTGGATTTCCCGGATTTCCTGGTGCCAATGGAGAGAAGGGAGGCAGGGTAAGCGCGGATAGACTTCAAGTCTCTGGTCAGACTACTTGTGCTGTGCCCTTGTCATTCCAGGCTGCTCTCAAATCCAGATCCTGCCCATTTTCCCCCCACACTTTGCTACCACTGTCACTCAGGACGCTGACCTTGACCACTAAGCCCATAGCTCTTCCTGGTGCCAGGCTGGGCCTGATGGGACAGGGAGGCCAGCAGGGAAGAGGACATGCCACGAGAGGAAATAGTTTTCTCGTAAACAGCGCCTCACACAGAGTCCCTTCCCATCTGTGCTGATGGAGTCCCCTCTCCGTCAGCAGCCCCTTCTGCAGACCGCTGTCAAAAGAAGAGTGTCTTCTCTCCCGTGGCCACCTGTTCTGCCTAGCGCTCGGGTGCTGTTACAGGAAAGCACTGCAGGTGGAGGGAGCAGGTGTAGTGGATGCCTGTGGCAGACAGAACTGTCTTCTCTTGTGGTTTAGGAGGCTGCAAGTCTGGACTCGGGGTGTCGGCTTCAGGAGGAAGGCTGGCTGGCTTTGTCACCTCTAGGGGATGGGCCTTCTCCTGAGTTCAGAGGTTCTCAGCACAGGGACCCTCAGTCCAGAGGATGCGCTCTGCTCCTGCTCTCCCTCTTTGGTGTTTTCAGGCTCCTTGGCCTCTGCTCGCCTCTCTCCCCTTCTCCTCTCTCTCTCCTGTAAGATGGAAGGAGCTGCAGGCCACACCCCGGGGATCAAGGCTGTGACTCGAGCAGGGTCACAGGCTGCATTACCCCACATTCCATTCTCCTCAAAGCTGACTGACTTATCTATCGATCACATCAGACAGCGTCCTAGGGTGATGGCATCATTATGGAACTGCCAAGCCCCAGGTGTCCAAGTCCAGCGGAGCTAACACGTGTTTTGGGGGGGTGCCATTGAACGCATGTCAAGAGCCTTGTCCTCTGGTCATTTCCAAGGTGCCATCGTCCTGAACTTGTGTCACTCCAGGTTGCTGTAGGTTGTCATGATGAACAGACACATCCAGAGGCACTGAGCTCCCTTCCCTGACCATTCCATGCCGGCCGGGAGGTGGTCCTGGTTATTCCTCATGGATTTACATAAGAGTGTTCATCACTGCCCGTCACATAGGAGGCAGAGCCTTCGATTCTAAGCAACCTTGGCCACGGGCACCTGGGAACACACCACCTGAGCCAGGCGTGAGGGGCAGTGGCTGAGAGCGCCACTGGGGACCCAGCCCTGGAGATGTGGCCCCAGTTCACGACGGTAGAGCCCAGCGGCCACCACACTCCAGCACCACCCCTATCCGGCCTCTCCTGGTGGGGACAGGGCTGTGCATGCACCCCTCTCAGCAGTGTCCCTGTGTGGACACCCTGTTTGCGTGCTGACTAAGGCAGGGAGGGGGCCCACGTGTGAGCAGCTGGGTGCCGCCGAGCTGTACCTGGGAAGCCATGGCTATACTGGCATCCAGAACTGGCATCCTCGGTGAGGCAGCCGCCAGCAGGAGAAAGCCCATGGCTGTGAACCAGGAGCCAGTCGGACAGCCGTAGCACACGGTGCCCCAGTGTCCAGTTGTTTCTGCAGACTGGACAAGGGCCTCGTGATCAACCAGAAGGTGTGTGTACCAAGGCCAGCCCCACCCAGCAGCCTGAGCTGGAGGGCTGAGCACACAGAGAGGGTCCCAAGCGGTCTGTTCACGCTGCCTGTGACCCTCTGTCACCATCACCACGGGCCGCACGGGTCACACTCCTGTTCCCCTCATTGCAACTCATGCTAAAGCAACAGGCAGCAGTGAGCTGCACTCCCCGAGGTGCCCAGTACCCAGCACCCGGTGAACTGGACATGCAGATGCTGGGCAGAAGCTGAGGGCGTGGTCTGGGACCTGAGGGTCCTGAGAGGGGCTGGAAGTCTTGATATATGTCCAGCAGCTTCCTGAGGTCAAGGAGGGCACAGGACCCCCTGGACTTCCTGACAGCGTGGACAGAGAGAGGGAGACAGTGTCCCCTCACCCTCCCTTCTGAGGGACACTCTGGCTGCACTTTGACCGAGAACTCCGCTCTTTCTTCTAACAGTCTGGAGTGGCTGTGATAATCTCCACCAGCATCACGCTTCAAAGGCTCGGGTGCCCGATAGCCTAGTGTGTGGGGGGGTGGGGATGTGTGCCCAGCGCATGTCCCTGTCTCCTAGATCCTTCTGCTCCTGTGACCCTGGCTTTGAGGCAGAGACTTGACTCTGTGAAGTATCAGCTCTCAGTTAAACATGAAATCCACAGAGGAGAGTGGAGATCAGTTCTTGTCCACTAGGAGTCAGGCCAAAGGAGCAGAAGCAGGAAGCTGGAGCCCTGGGCCATCTCAGAGCCAGGGGTCCTGGAGAGATGCCCTTTAGAAATGTGCTGGGTGACTCCTCCTTCTGGGCTGTCCCACTTCTCAGCTCCTGACTACCCAGGCCACCCTGTCAAGGACAGTGGACACAGCCTGAGAGACACTGTCAGATACCTCCAATCACTAGGGTCTGGTTAATGAAGGATTCTCCTGACATAGAGGCCGGAGAAGCCTTGTGGGAAGTGAGGGCGCCTCCTCATTTCATGCAAGGCCTGCCTGCTCGCCCCTCAGACATGTACCCAGAGGACGCACGTGCTGTCCACTGAGCCACCATCTGTGCTGTGTGCTCAGGGCTGTGTTTAGGGTGAAGGGTCCCTGTTTGGGTGTTGGGGCTGGGCCTGAAGGCGGTGAGCTGACTCGGCCAGTGGTCACCTATGGATGCCAAGAACTAGCTCGCCTTGCTCATGGAGGTTCCCGCTGGTCAAAAGTTTATCCTTTGAAGAAAGCAAAAGCTTTATTAATTTTCATAAGCAAATATTTGAAGTCAGCGGATCATGCCATAGAATTGAAATACCGGCACCTGGGTGCGTGGTTTAAAGCAGCAGCATTAACTCATCCTTCTAAATGGCTTGTGTTAGAAGGCAGTGTTGTGCCGACAGTGGATGAGTGAGAGGTGGGCAGAGACGGTGTGTCAGCACGCATCCCCCAGAGGAAAGCTCGGGCACGGGGACCCAGGGGCTCTGAGGTTCTGAGCCGCTTCCGTCCGTGACTCCCATAGGCTGTGCTAAACTGCGTGCTTTCAGCCATTATGTCTTTGCTTTAGAAAAAAAAAGGCATTTCTCTGTGGCTTGGAAAATAACAAGCAGAGGCAACCTCAGAGAAGGGCCTGAATTCTCCGAAAAGAGGAGGGAGGGCACTGGAATCCACGCTTTAGATATTAAATTGTAGGTTTGCTTGACTGCAGCCTGTTGAAAATTTAATGGCTAATATTCTTAACTGTAGCAAATGTGAATTATGCATGAAAGGGGTCCACTGGCTTCTCTTTTCTTACAATAATGATTTCCCCCCGCCGAGCGAGGAGAGAGCTGAGGGAGGAAGTGGGGGTGGCTGCCTCTCTGAGGGAGAGAACTGGGGACTGGACACCCAGCAGAGCAGGAGGGAGATGGGGTTCCCAGGACACAGGTGCGAATGGGGAGCACCAGCTTGGGCTGTCCCACTTGCTGGGGGCAGAGAGGAGCTGGCTGGTCTGGAGGCCTGTTTCCGGGGAAGGACCCCCAAACCTCTGGCAGGGACGATCATTATACTGGTGACTGATCCCCCCTCTCCTTTGGTTCCAGGGCACCCCTGGAAAGCCAGGACCGAGGGGACAGCGTGGCCCAACGGTAACAGCCTGGTGGTCGGGGCATCTGAGGATACATGTGGGTGGGGTTGGGCAGGGGAGGGACTTTGGCTTTCTGACCATCCTCTCCTCGTCTGTCCAGGGTCCGAGGGGAGAGAGAGGCCCGAGGGGCATCACGGGGAAGCCTGGTCCCAAGGTAGGTGTCTGTGTCGGGGTTCTTGGAGGTGGCGGCTTGAAGTGGGGTCATCCCTGTGTTTTAGTTTAATAATGAAAAAGAGAAGGTAACTCTTGGGGATTTTGGAAAATCGACGTTGGGGATTTACTGATGGGGTCACACCCTGGAAGCTCCCCCAACCCTCAGAGGGGTCTCCTCTGTACACGGGAGCCACCACGTGAGGCTGAATCAGTGGGCGGCAACCAGCACTTAAGGAAGGACTCTCCTCCTGCTGGGTCAGCCAGGTCACATGACTGTGGTGACACTCCCAGGACCACCTTGTCCCCTAAGGAGAGCAGTCCTCTGGCCTGAGGAGACTAGTCCCAGCTGGACTCCTGGAGGGCTGCTGAGTGGCCATGGCCCACGTACCACACACGGGGGTAGCCAAGCAGCCATGGCCGTGAACCACACAGGGGGGTCGAGTGGCCATGGCCATGAACCACACAGGGGGCCAAGATCCCCTGAGGCAGACTACTTCTCGGCTGCTGGAGACTGAGGTGACAGAATATCACCTCAGTTAAGGTGTGTCTTGGTTAAGGTGTCTGTGGTCCAGAACCTGCCTCTTGACTTGGTGTGACTTCTTTATGTCACGTGCTTGGGCACAGTATTTATCTCACCACAGCAGCCTGTCCTCTCCTTGGGACCCTCAGGACCTTGGGCTGGCAGCCATGTGTCTGAGCACAGAGCCTTGAGAACGTTGGTCCTTTGTGAGGGTCAAGGTGACCTTGAGGAGCTCCATGTGCCCAGCACTGGCTCAGAAATTGTGATGATGTCATGGCCAGATTCTTTGATCCAAAGTGATAAATAATAATAAGCTTTTGTCTGTCTCTCTCCCAAGGGTAACTCTGGAGGTGACGGCCCAGCTGGCCCCCCTGGAGAGCGGGTAAGCACCTCCGCCAAGGGCCCACAGCCAACCTCCCCATGAGGGTTCCTCCCCATGCAGCTGCCCAGGCCACCTCCTCCAGGGTTGGCAGAGAGGGAGGCATGGCTTCTCTCTGCTGGAAAGAGGGCCTCCCAACATCCCAAAGGTGGACCTGGAGTTCCTGCTCTGGAACTGAAACTGCCTGTTGGGTCAGAGGGAGGGGCCGGACTTGGAGGTGGGGTCAGGGGGAGGGGCTGACTAGGAGATGAGGTCAGGGGGAGGGGCTGACTAGGAGATGAGGTCAGGGGGAGGGGCTGACTAGGAGATGAGGTCAGGGGGAAGGACTGGACTACTGGATGGGGTCAGGGGGAGGGGCTGACTAGGAGGTGGGGTCGGGGAGGGACTGGACTTCTGGGTGGGGTCAGGGGGAGGGGCTGACTGGGAGATGAGGTGGGGGGGAAGGACTGGACTACCGGATGGGGTCAGGGGGTGGGGCTGACCAGGTGGGGAAGGCATCATATAGAGTTGGACTAGGTGGACATTAGGCCATTGGAAAGAGCTGGTCTCGGTGGAGGTAGGGATGAGGGGGCATTAAGAAATGCCACGTGTATCAGAGCCAACAGCTTGGGGCAGGTGGCAGGTAATAGTGGGAACTGCTATACAATGGAGAGGACTCTGTCTTCAAACTGACCTTTCTCTGTCACCAGGGACCCAATGGACCTCAAGGACCCACAGGATTTCCTGGACCCAAAGGCCCCCCTGTAAGTGTCCATCCTTGTCTGAAGTGCCTGGTTTCTCAGACCTCAGGATTTCCTGGAGACCCTGGCCTTCCCTGAGGCACCAGTGGCCTTATCACAGTGGGGCGCCCTGGGGGTGTTGGGACGCTTCAGTCTCTGCCTCCATCTTCACACAGTCCAACTCCTCTCTCTGTCTCTCTTTATCTGCAACTCCACCATCTCTTTGTGAAGGCACCAGTCATTGGATTCAGGACCACCCTAGTCCAGTGTGACCTTTTCACATCCCAAAGACCCTGATTCCAGATAAGGCCACGTCCGTGCATTCTAAGGGTTTGCACTTCAACATGTATTTTGAGGAAATATGACTCAGTGCACAATAGGTGCAACATCCTACTGTTCCTTTAATCCCCCTGCATACAGGGCGAGTCCGCCAGGCAGTGAGCCCGACTGCCCGCTGGGGGACGGTCGAGCCACAAAGGTGGGCTCTCTGATGTGAACAGTGGCACCTGCCTGGCTCTGACTCTGGGGAGCTGGCTAAACCCTCCCTCCCTCCCTCAGTTTCTCTGCTGGGAGATGAGGCGCACATGTACTGGAGTGTTGTGGGGGTTTGACGAGGTGAAGCATGTTCCCTGCTCTAGATGGTCCCACCTGTTCTCGTCTTGTCATCACGTAACTATCATTGATGCCTATTCAGAGGACACTTGAGGACAAGCCCCATTGGTGGGTAGGGATGGTCACTCTGAAAGTTCAAGCTTCTCAGAGCTCAGTGGAACTTCTACCTTGCTCCTTTCCAGGGTCCCCCAGGCAAGGATGGACTCCCAGGACATCCTGGACAGAGAGGCGAGACCGTGAGTACTGGGGTGCTGGGGTCACGGGCTGCCTCACTTCTTCCAGCTGGTCCTCTTGGGCCCTGTCTCCACTTGACCACACAGTCCAGGGAGATCCTGCCGTGCATGGCAGGGACTGGCCAGCTGTGCAGGCCTTTGAGGGCCTGTGGCATCTGTGTGGAGATGCAGGCTGCTCAGAGCAGCTTTGCTTCCAGAGTCCAAGTGCCCCAGCACCCTGAACCTCAACTAGAAAGACACCCCTTTCTGTCTTCCTCCAGAATAATTTCTGGCCCCACGAGCTTCCAGCCCACACGTTTTCTCTAGGAAGTCGCTGGAGCTGCTCTGAAGCGTTAGCTGTCCACTCGTTCGTGTGGCAGAAGCTCAGAACGAAGGACCAGGCCTTTCACTGCCCGGCCTCACTGCCCAGGGCTGTTGGCCTGTTGGTTGAGGTGGAGGGACACTTAGCACCTTCAACACCTCTGTCCTGTTGTTCAGACAAAAATCACCCGAAGCCCCAAACAGCATTTTAATAAATCTTCCCCAAACTAAAGCAAAATGAGGCCAAAAGGCGTAACCAGAGTAACTTTGCAGACTGTTAGGTTAGTGGACTTAAAGAAGAAATCAGAGGGAACGGGAGAAAGCTTAATGCAGCTTTATTAAAGGGGGGTGGGGGTGGAAGGGGAGCTCCCGGGTGAGTTCCTCGTCCTAGAGAGGCAGAATGGGAAGTCACACTGTGAACTTACTGGGGAGGATTTTTATAAACAAAGTCTTTAGGGAGGGACATTCCACTCTGATTTACAAGCCACCTGCTAGCTCAGCCAGACATGCAAGGCTGTTTGCTCTTCTTATCAGCAGCAGAAAAGGCCATCAGCATTTGAGTTATGAATTCTTCATTCTTCTCTTTGGTCCCTTTTGCCCAGACTAACACTAACCATGTCCGGTAACAAAACTACACAAACGAAACAGTGCAAAACACACCCTCTGCTTGCCTCAAGTTGTTTTCATTGAAATTTTGAAGGTGTTTCATATTAGAAATAGGCTATTAGGTAAATATATGGGTATAATGAGCAAATGATTCAAGTTTATGTAACACAACAGTTTTCAAACTGGAATAACACATCCAACCGAAACGCAGGACTCACATGCATTTCCCTTGAGTCAGAACCAGCTCAGAGCTGACTGTGCAGCGTGTTGCTGAGGCTGTAAATCAGAAAGGAGGTTTGATCCTGCAGATGGAGACAGTCTCCAGTTAGCCAGGCAGCTCCTTAGGGCCTGCGAGGTCAGAGAGTCCACGGTCTTTTCTAGATGCTTGTCTCATCACTAGTAATGATCCGTTGCCATGGTGACAGGGCCAGAACACTGTTTATAAAATAGCATTTTCTGGAAGAACGATCTAAATAATTACTGAATTACCCTAGAGCCTAACTCTAGTCTGCCTTTGGGGGTCTCAAACGAAGAGTGGATAATCCCTAAAAATACACAATACTCAAAGTAGAATGTTCTTTGCTAATTAGCCCCATTAGGAAAGGCTGTGGCTTGATTTAAGGTGACTTTTAGAGAACCAGTTTCTTCATGGCTCAAGATAGAAATATCTTGGAGTGAGAGTCTGAACAGGAAACCTCAAACTCTGTGGGATCCAGAAATATGGCTTCCATGACGATGCGATACCCCATTCATTCTTCTGTAAGGAAGCAGATGGGTAGCCAGTGTGTCAGTCAGGCCTTCTTTGGACGCTGTGTGCCCACATGGGGGGCCCTTGCCACCAGGGCACCTTCCACCCACTCTTACCTTTAGCAGTTTTTGCACAAACAGTGCCACCTCCACCTTCAGTGACTCCAGCAGTTCCAGATGGACTAGAAGACATTTACCAGAAACGGGACCCTTCTGTCTCTTAGCCCGTTAGGATCAGTCCTGCTCTTGCCTGCTTGTGGAAGGTGTCCCCCAGGAGACCACGTGGGTACTCCTGGGGTTTTTACTCGAGCCTGTGGCAGGCTAGGCTCCCAGTGCCTCCGGAGCCGCTGTCCCTGCACTCCTGCTCTGGGCCCTGGGCCTCCATGGGCCTGCCTCCCTCTCTGCCCATTGTATGCCCAGCGGGAAGGACGGAGTGGGCCCTGGGCACAGGCGTGGGCTTTGCCAAAAGGGCTCCTGCGGCCAGCTCCCTCTTCAGAGTCTTAAAGGCCTCTTGTGGCGGAAGCCTGCTCCGCACGAGTTGGCTTCTGAAGGCCGCATTTCTCATGTTTCGGTGTCTGTGTTTTCTGTTGCTCTTTGACTCGTGGTGATGAAACCTCTTTTAATTATACCTTCACGTGTTCTCGCTGGCCGAGTGCAATGGCTGATTAATGGAGATTACACTGCTCCTTTGTTTACAGAGAAAAATTAAAGCCTATCTCTACACCCTGCATTGTTCTCAAATGGCTTCCTAGGAGACATGATAAAAAGGCTTTTGGACTCGCTCAGGGCGAAGCTGGTAAATAATTAGGTGACCGCCTCTGCTTGGAGAACAGCATGGCCTCCCCAGCTACGCTCTGTCGTGGCTCTGTTAGGCAGGAGCACGGTGGCGATGTGGGGTCCCCCCGCTCCGAGACCCCCTGCACATGAGGGGAGGGGAGGGGCTACCCCCCCTGTGTTCCTACGTTATGTCTTCTCTTTGAAATAGTTATTACTCTTCTCAGTGGGAGTCAGGGCCACAAGCTTTCTGTCAGCAAGAAGTTAAGAATGAGTCCTACTCTGGTGACATCCTTGGGCCCAGCCTTGGGCCAAGCAAAGCCCCCCCCCCCTTCTGTTACCATGGACATGAACAGCATCTGACCAAGGCACCTATCGCAGATGGAGACTCTTTGGCCCCCTAAGTAGGTGAACATCCTAGCCCAGCCCTCCGTCTTTGTCAGCACTTCCTGTAGGGGACAGTGCATTTGGCAATGACCTTTTGTCTACTTTGTGCTTCTTCACCTGGCTAAGACCAAGTGCTTCACTTCCTGCAATTCACGGAGCAGCTGAGTCTGGCCACAGACCAATGTGAACTTGCACATGGACAGTCCTGATAGTGACACAAGACCACCTGCCCAACGCCTGGTAGGTGGGCGTGAAAGCCAGCCACCTCCCTCTCCAGACTCCAGCTGTCCTTGTACGGCCCCCCTGGGTGTGACACCTGCACACTTCTCTGCCTGTGTCACCTGGGGCTGCAGATGGTATCTCATCAGCAGGACGCAGCTCTAGCAGTCCAGCAGATCTCCCCACCAGCCAGCTTCCTCCTCCGAAGGAGCGTAGGTACAGCGTGGCCAGTCATTAGCAAACAGCCCAGCCAGGTGCCTCTCACGTGAGTGCCCACCGGAACGCACCCTCCAGCTGGATTATGACACTCGGCATCTCGGCCGCTGGCACGGGAGCAGCCAGCCGCTCGCTCTTGAAGTGCACAGGGCTGGCACGGGGCCGCACGTGGCTTAGATCACTCTCCAGGCAGCATGACCTTGAGGAAGAAAGCAGGAAGGTGTCCGCATAGTCGCTAATGAGCACATCACAGAGACGGCTTCTGCGTCCACATCCCACAGCCTGGTCTACTCAGAAAACGGGCGCTTAGTGCCAAGTTCAAGATGAATGGCCTCATAATCTGTGTCTCAGCACAAAAGCTCAGCAGAGGAGAAGCAGCTAGTGAAACTGAATTGCTGGCTTTGCTACCTTTGTAGAATTCTGATGGAATTCAGAGAACAGGTTCCTGTTACATGACACAGGCAGCGTCGGCTTCTCGGGGCTTCTCGGGGCTGGGGTGGAGGGAACCTGGAAGGGCAACCTGTGACAGCTCACCCAGCGATTCTGTCTTTCCACAGGGCTTCCAAGGCAAGACTGGCCCTCCAGGTCCTCCCGGCGTGGTCGGCCCACAGGTGAGTGAGACCCAGCACCCCCACCCTTGTGAGTCAGGGTTCTCTGGGGAAATAGAACCAGCAATCGCTGAGTGGCGTCCTGGTGACCCTGCATTGTCAGAGGGGCACTATGCACCCCAGGGCTCTTGATGCTGATTTTCCAGGCCCAGGTGGCCAAGCCGTTCTTCTGAAGAACCTCAGGGTGGACCTGAACCTCTGACCTTTCAGCTGGGAGTTGAGCACGCTGTTATGCCCGCCGGGGAACTTTTGAATGCAGATGTTTAGGTCCATATCGGTGGAGAGGAGAGATAGAGAGAGATGTAGAGAAGTGTGCTGACTTTCAGCACTTGACACCCATGAAAAGTGGGGTTGACAGGTCCAGAATCCATTGGTCACTCAACAGCGTGGACATTCTGACAGTTATGCTCCAAAATCATCTAACAGAAGAGTGGAGTTCTAGCAAGATGTCTGTTTATAGTCTGGAGACAGATGCATTCTGGGGGATCCTTACTCTCCAGGCCTCCCCTGATTGGACCAGGCCCACCACAATGGGGAGGACGTAACACAACTAGAGACGGGTCTCAGAGATAGTGCAGGGTTAGCTCCCAGCCACCACAGGGAAGTGATGCCGCATTAAAGCAAGTCTAACCCATCTCCATCTTTCAAGTCCCTCAGTGCACAGTTATGTGTACACTCCAGTGCGGTCAGTGAGGTGGGCAACAGCATTACAAAACGGTGTGGAATGTTGTGAGCTTGGTCGAAGTGGGGCAGAGACACAGAGTGCATGCTGTGGGAAGAGGGCTCTGATGGACGTGCTGGACACGGGAGAACCACGGGCCTTCCAATTGTGAAGCACACAGTGTCTGCAGAGAACAGTAGAGTGGAGTGTGGTGAGGCCAGTTCACCCGGCCTTGATGGCGGCCCCGGGACACCGACCCAACATCTGGTGCCTCAGCTGAGGGGACATGTAAAGCCCACAGAGTCACAGGGTTCTGCTGATGGCTAGTTCTGAATCATGGAGATGCTCGCTAGCACTGGGGTGGGGGGGAGGTAGCCAGGGGACCCCGTAGGTAGGGAAAGGGTCCTGGCCTGGGGAGAGGAGCAGGTGCAACAGCCTGAGCTCTGGGGTCAGTGCGGCCACTGAGGAGTCAGGCTCCATCCACTTCTGTGTGAGAACGGTCCACAGTGGGATGGACGGCCCAGAGCCTCGCCCTGAGGTGACTGAGGTGCTCACCCAGCATGGCTGTAACACAGAACACGTGGGTATTCTTCCAGTGGCTGGTGCTCGGGTCCCTGTGGCCACCTCACTGTGAAGTCCAGGGGTCCCCGTGACCAGCTCACTGTGAAGTCCAGGGGGTCCCTGTGACCACCTCACTGTGAAGTCCATGGCTTCCTGTGGCTACCTCAATGTGAAGTCCATGCCTCGCCATAGCTGCCTTATTGTGGAGTCCATGGGTCCCCATGGCTGCCTCACTGTGAAGTTCATGGCTCTCCGTGAGGTCCACGCCTCCCTGTGGCTGCCTCAATGTGAGGTCCATGGGTCCCCGTGACCACCTCACTGTGAAGTCCATGGCTCCCCGTGGCAGCCTCACCAAACCGTCCTTCCTGTGTTGGTTCCCACCGTGTCCCAGGGGGTACAAGCACGCCTGCTGGACAGACACACCGTGGATAGGAGGAAGGGGAGTGCCGACCCTGGGTGGGCCAATGGCAGGGCCCTTAGAGCCTCGACCATGCTTGCTTGCTTTTAAATTTCCAGATTCTTCTGGAAGGAGAAAGCATGCCAAGAATAGCAGAAGTTGGGTGGTGCGAGAGCTCTGCGTCAGAGACCTGGGCTGTCCTCGGACTCAAAGGGGAGGACACGTCTTGCTTGTTGCTTGGGAAGTGTCCGTGGCTGACAGTGTTTATCCCCACAGGGTCCCACGGGAGAGACTGGCCCCATGGGCGAGCGTGGCCACCCTGGGCCCCCAGGACCCCCTGGCGAGCAGGGGCTCCCAGGAGCTGCTGGAAAGGAAGGGACGAAGGTGAGTTCCTGAGGTCGTCTCTGTCGGGGCCTCTGGGGTCATTTCCTAACTTCACGTTCACTTGCTCTGCTCCGACTACTGGGCAGTTCCTCCAATGTTCTCCAGACACCAGGCATCTCAATCCTAGGTGGCGGGATTTGAACCAGGATGGGAGTTGGTCACCTGGGGCGGGGCGGGCGGGGAGCACCACCTCTGGCTGGACCACCCACGGCCCTGTCCACTGCTGCCCAGTCCCAGGAATGGGTATACTTTTCCACTGTGTCTTTCTGAAGAGTTCGGTGGAACTTGAACTTCGGCCTCCCACCTGAAAGGTCAAAATAAATCATACAATCGCTGTGTTTGTGTCCTACCATTTAGCACTTCTCTGAGAGTGTCACTAGACCCTCTTCCTCCGTCCAGACAAGGGGCCATGGCTTCCTGTGAGCAGAAAGTAAATAGGCCTTTTCTGGAAAAGGAGGACTTGGAAAATGTCAGCTCTCAACCCTTCATGGGACCACAGCCACACGTAGCTGATGGACAGTGACGTGTATGGAGCCCACGGTGCCTGGCCAGACTCAGACATGCCTTTTAAAGCTGGTGGCCGTGCCAGGTCCACCTCCTACAACAACCAGTCCAACTGAGTGTCAGAGTGCTCTACCCAGCTCCGGATGCCCATTCCCTGGCACCCTATCTCTGCAGCTAGCCAATGGCTCTGTTTCAGGGTGACCCTGGCCCTGCTGGCATCCCCGGGAAAGATGGGCCCCCCGGACTGCGTGGCTTCCCTGGGGACAGAGGACTTCCTGGCCCTGTGGTGAGTGATGGCCAGATGGGCGTGAGGGTGGATGGCATCCGGTCGGCCCTCTCCGCACAGGGCCCTCAAGTGTCCTCATTGTTCCACAGGGAGCTCTTGGGCTGAAAGGCAACGAAGGCCCGCCCGGCCCACCGGGGCCCGCGGTGAGTGGTACTGACTGGTCATGAAGCCCCCTCCTGCCTCTGCCCCACCCGCTCTGCAGGGGCACGTCTTCTTGGGGCATCTCAGGACCATGTGGCCTGTGAAGGGTGCAGAGGAAGAAACGGGTTTGCAGAGAGGCTGCCATGGGTGATGGGGGCTCTTGCTGGGGGCCACAGGGCCTGGAGGAATACAGCAGGGAATGAGGCTCGTTCAGGGGAGAGAAATGGGGAGGCAGGAGCTGCTGAAGCAGCACATAAGGGGACGTGTCTCCAGATGGGAACGGGTGACAGACACAGGCCTGGGTGGGGTGTCTAGACAAGAGGGGCCAGATGACACTGAGCCTCAGGCGGCAGAGCAGAGGCACTTGCCGAGGGCCATGGGGAGCTGTGGTGGGCTCCAGAGTGAGGGGCAGGCTCGAGGAGGCTTGGGGCACGGTGGTCACAGCTGTTCTCCTTCCTGCCTACCCAGGGATCTCCAGGAGAGCGAGGTCCTGCTGGTGCTGCTGGCCCCATCGGGATCCCGGGGCGTCCTGGGCCCCAGGGCCCTCCAGGACCGGCTGGAGAGAAAGGTGCCCCTGTGAGTACTGCTCAGCTCAGGCGGGGTGCAGGAGGCCTTCCTTGGAGCGGAGGCTCGGGGCTCCTCCTATATGTCCAGCCTCGTCTATCTTCCGCTATGTCCACAAGGACATTTCGCTGGGTGTTCTCGGGTGGCAGGAAGCGTTGGTGGTTTATAGCAGGTGTCATGACATCTTGACCAGGGCTGAGCAGAGGATTCTGGTGTTTCCACGGCTTCCCTCCAGCACCAACTTAGGGGCCAGGTGGGCTACATGGGCAGTGTGGCGGCCAAGCAGATGGGCACCTGGGGACATCTCGTCTGTGGCGAGGGCAGAGTGAGGGGACATGAGTTAGTCCCACAGGCCTCTGAGGAACAGAATGAGTAGGGGTGCACGAGCATGGTCAGTGGTCACAGGCCGTCACTGGGTGTCGCTGTCAGGGCAATGGTCCTTGGTCATGTTCATCCAGGTGGCAGCCCTCTGAGGTGCCACAGTCACTGTGTAAATACATCTCATCTGGGGTCTTCCTCTCCTGCACTGACCTTCTACCATTCAAAGCATGATGTCCTTCTGCAAGAACTGGTCCTTCCTGACAACATGCCCAAAATACATAAGATGGAGAGGTTCCAAACCCTTGCCTCCAAGGTGCTCCTGTCGCCTGGGCATTTTACTGCATTAGTGATGCCAGTGCGTATTACGTTTGAGAGGTAGACAGTGACTTGTGCAGGGAGGAGAGGACCGTGGGGTGGAGCACGCCCACATCTCCATCCTGAGAGCAGAGGTAAGTGGACGCAGTGGCCAGCAGATCCAAGCACTGACTGTCCATCTTCCCGTGGGCCCACCCTTGTTCTTGTGCCTGCCAGACAAAGGCCTTCTGGCTCGTGTGAGGAAGTCCAAGTGCGTGCACAGAGCGGGGGCCGCAAAGTTGAGCAAAGTGATCTGAGAACTGAGGACCTTTGAGATTTAGGAGAGAGCCGCGGGCACTCTCTGTGCTTGAAGCAGATGAGCCGGCGTCCGGAGGGGAGGGAAGATGGTGTGTGCACGGGGGTGTGTGCATGCATGTATGTACTGTGTGCGTGAGGATGTCTGCGTGTGCACACGTGAGCATCGCATTTGTGCATGTGTACGTGTGAGTGTCCATGTACGTGTGTGTGCATCGATGTGTCATGAGTGGGGGTGCACATGGATACATGTGAGTGTGCACAGTGCATGGGAATGTAGGTGTGCATGTGAGTGTGGGCATGAGTGCACATGAATGTGTGAGTGGTGTTGTTGGTGTTGTGTGCTGTTGAGTTGCCTGCGACTCATAGCGACCCCATGTACCGCAGCTCTGAAGCCTGCCCTGTCCTGAGCCAGTCTCACTAACTCTGGCACACCAACCCCCATTGCCCCAGTTACTGTATCAATCAGTCTCATCTGGGGTTTTCCTCTCGGCGCTGTCCCTCCACCCTTCTGAGCATAATGTCCTTCTCCAAGGACTGGTCCCTCCTGGCCACGTGCCCAAAGTGTATGAGGCAGAGCTTCCAAACCCAAGCCTCCAAGGAGAAACTTGGTTTCACTCTCTCCAAAAGAGACCTATGTGTTTTCTTGGTGGTCCATGGTATGTTCAAGATTTTTCACCAGCACAGTTCAAAGGCATGGATTCTTCTTCTGTCATCCTTAGTCATTGTCCAGCTCTCTAATGCACAGCAAGTAATTGCAAAGACCATGGCCTGGATCAGGCGCACCTTAGTCTCTAGACTAATGTCTTTGCTTCTCAGTACTCTGGAGAGGTCCCTGACTGTAGATTTTCCCAGTGCACTTTGTCTTTTGATCTCTTGACTGTTGGTGCCGAAAGTACTGATTGTGGAGCCGAGCAAGCTGAAATTGTTAAGAATCTCAATCTCTTCTCTATCATGGTGCTGGTGTATGTGGGTATGTTTCTGTGTGTGCATACGTTAGCATGAGTTAGTTCAGCGTGAGTGTGTGTAAGAGCACATGAACCTGAGAGAGGTACATCTGCAGAGAACAGACAGTGAGCAAGGTGGGGCAGGCACTGGACGCCAGCCTGGCCGTTAGCCTCAGCGAGGCGTCACACACACACTTGGACCTGGTCCGACTGGAGGTAGGCCCCGGGTCTGCTCCTTGTTCCGGGGCCTTCAGATTTTCCATCTGTACCAGATGAGTGAGGGTCAGCACTGCAGCCGCCTCAGTGTCCTTTCTGAGACCCAATGGGCCAGTGGTAACGGCCACTCCTTCAAAATGTCTACCTTTCCCTGCAGAGTCCCCTCAGGAGTGATAAACTGGGGGGGATGTGCACTGGATGGAGCCACTTGTGACCATGGTTTTTTTGTCCTCTCCAGGGTGAGAAAGGGCCACAAGGTCCAGCCGGCCGAGACGGTCTCCAAGGCCCTGTGGGTCTTCCTGGCCCAGCAGGTCCTGTGGGTCCCCCCGGAGAAGATGGAGACAAGGTAAAGGGACCAAAAGCAAGTCCTCATGCAGATGGTGCGGGGAGTCCACCTGGGTTGACCAGGCTGGTGGGCAGGGCAGTCATCATAGACTGACCCAGGAGCGGGGCTTCACGGCGGGACAGCCTGCCCTTCCTGTGACCCCTGCTTTGCGATGCTCTAGAAGCATCTGTGGTGAGGGGTGATGAGTGAGACTGGGGGCCTGTGGTCCTTCTGTGTGGCTCTGAAGTCACGCTGGACAACTCTGTTAGATCCGAGGTCAAGGTCGAGGGACCCGCTCTGAGTGTCCGCCCCTCACATTCCGTTCCGTCCGTGTGGTTAAGGAGGCTCCACTCTGCTCAGCGCCTTCCTCAGACCAGCAAGGCCGCTACCATTAGAGTGGTGCTCTGTGATGCTAACGCGATTACTGCGGGTGGTCACGGTTCAGACCTCACTTGGGGCAGACAGCCTCAGCTCTTGAGGCTGGCGTCTGTCGGCGCGCACTGTCCAGTGATAGCCCCGACTCTGCCACCGGCACGCGGGTGCAGCCTCGGCCCCCAGGGTGGAAAGCGCCCGCCCTGGTAACACGGGAGGAGATTTTAATAACGTCCTCAGAAGCACAGAAATTGAGTTGCTTATTATTAAGCTGTCATGTTGGCAGTCTGACTTGCAAACAAAATTGGAAAAATATTTTCAATATGCATATCTCCCACATTTTCAAATCTGCTAAATCCTGCATCATATAAGATGAAGAGACCCATTCCTTTCATGCCTTGTGTTAAAAGGAAATAAAACTAATTTATGGAAACATTTCTTCTTTGGAAACCCATCGAGCCACTGGGAGAGAGCTTCCTCATCCTCCCAGGACCCTTAATTATGAGGACAGGTGACAAGCCGGGGTCAGGGGCATCTGACGGAACTGTCCTTCTTCCTCCCCAGGGCGAGATCGGAGAGCCTGGACAGAAAGGGAGCAAGGGGGACAAGGGCGAGCAGGTGCGGAGGACCTCTGTCTGCGGACGACCGATGGCTGCAGAGGCCATATGGCTGTGTGACGTGTGGCTTTTATGATGCCTGGTGGCACACAGCGGGCTGAGTGTCCTGTCCCGTTGCAGTCTCGTGTGTGTGTGTGTGTGTATTTGTACTTGTAAGTGCATGTCTCCTACATGTTTGCATCTGTTTATATCTATCTTAATATGTATAGAGGTATGTAAATTTACGTATGCAGAATGTGCGTGTGTGTGAACGTATCTGGAAGAGCTCTGTGGTGTAGTCTGTAGCGCGTTGCATGGCTAACCAAAGGGTCGCTTGCCTCTGGCGCTCTGAATTCCCCCCGCAGCTCCTGGAAGAAGGAAGAGCTTGCTCCCCAGTAGGATTCACCATCTTGGGGAATGCGGGGAGGGTCCCAGAGTTGGCATCGCCTGGTGGAGGGAGTTTAGGTCTTGGTTTGGTTATAAGTATGTACATGTACCGGTTGTTGTCATTGTTATGTTATGAACCGTGGAGTCGGAACTGACCCCTAGCCGACCCTCCGGTGGGTTTGCAGAGGCAGTAAATTGCACAGGAGGAGACCGTCCATCTTTCTCCTACAGAGCAGCCCGTGTGTTTGAACACCACACCTTTGCATTAGCAGAGCAATTCCTCACTGCAGAGCCACCAGGTCTCTTTTAATTTTGCTTTAATTCAAAGTATAATACAGATGGCCTCTTGCTCCGTCTGGTACTGGGTTTGCACACAGGCGTCAGTATCTGTGTGTCTGCGTGCATTTTTGCATGTAAGTATGTACAGAGGGGCATGTATATGAATCTGTATGAACAATGATACCACAGCTTCGTGTGTGTGTGTGTGTGTGCGCGTGCATCCATAAGTATGAAGAGCTCTGGTGGTTGGTCTATAGGGAGTTGATAACCCAAAGACCAGGGCTAGAGGTTCGAATCCACTAGCAGCTCCATGGCAAAAAGATGGGCGTTCCCCTTCCCTGTGAGCTACAGCTTCTGAAAACCCACGGTGGGGTCAGCCTGAGTCAGTTCTGACCTCTGAGGGGGCTGGTCTGGTGGCCCCTGGCCTCACCACTGACAGCTGCTCCGAGCCCTCTGCCAGGCCTCAGCTGTGTCTCAGGACGCAACCTCATATCTCTGTCCCCACAGGGTCCCCCTGGGCCTACAGGTCCTCAAGGCCCCATCGGACAGCCAGGCCCCTCCGTAAGTACCTGCTGTTAGTGACCCTCAGAAGGGACAGTGGGAGCAGGGGAGACCGGTGCCTGGTCCTCATCCTGCGCTCGGTGGCTTTCCTGCAGGGGGCAGACGGCGAGCCTGGGCCTCGGGGCCAGCAGGGCCTTTTTGGGCAGAAAGGTGACGAAGGACCACGCGGTTTCCCAGGCCCTCCGGGGCCCGTGGGGCTGCAGGTGAGAGCAAGTTTTAAGCGGGGCCAGGTGTTGGCTGTGCGTGCTCCTGCGTCTCTCTGTGTCCCCCACATCCTGCTTGTCTTTAAAATGGGGTGCTTGACTGGACTGTGGAGGGTCCCAGGGAGTGCCATGTCCTGTGGGTCCCAGTTTTCTTGTATGAGACGCTGGAGCGCGCCTTGTCCACAAAGCTTCGAGCACTTTCCTCCTGTCTCCTTGGGCTGAGTGTTGAGATTTGTCACGATGGTACGTGCTCATGTCCCTGCTCTGTGTGTGGAAGCCGGCACATCCTCATCCCACTGTGCACGTGAAGGCCGGCTCCAGGGCTCTGGGCCCCGCATCCCGCAGGAGGAAGATGGCCTGTCTGTGTAGACTGGCACGGCTGTGACATCTCTGAATGCTCCTGTTCCCATCCAGGGCTTGCCGGGACCTCCAGGCGAGAAGGGCGAGACCGGAGACGTGGGCCAGATGGTGAGTGACACGACGGAGTTGAGACTGTGGCAGCTGGTCGTGGGGGGCCATGTGTGCTTATGCCTGTGCTCAATGCTCACTATCTTTCCAGGGCCCCCCAGGACCCCCTGGCCCCCGAGGACCATCTGGATCTCCAGGTGCTGATGGACCCCAAGGCCCTCCAGGTGGCATCGGAAACCCTGGCGCAGTTGGAGAGAAGGTGAGACTCTGAACTGGTGAACATGTCAGTGTTGTAAGGTCAGGGGGCGGGGAACGGGCAGGTGGGTGTGCAGGTGTTAGTGCAGGTGTGTGCCTGGTGTGTGCAGGTGTGTACCTGGTATGTGCAGGTGTGTGCTTGGTGTGTGCAGGTGTGTACCTGATATGTGCATGTACGTACCCAGTATGTGCAGGTGTGTGCCGGGTGTGTGCAGGTGTGTACCTGGTCTGTGCAGGTGTGTACCTGGTCTGTGCAGGTGTGTGCCGGCTGTGTGCTTCTGTGGGTCCAGGTGCGTGGCTGTGTCATTCCTTCGAGGGGAATGGAGCAGGGCATTCTGATGTGGAGATTCGTGTTGGCCTTTGTTTCCAATTACCCCGCCGCGAAAGGCCTGCTGTTGGCAGGTACCTCCCTGCTCCCTGGACAGCTGGAGCTGCAGCCTCACACTTCCCTGTTCCGTCCAGTGCTTGTCTACTCAGAGCACAGGGCCCAGCTCACGGGGCCTGAGGGGTTTGGGGGCTAGACTCACAAGGTGGCAAAACTGGCTGATATATGTGTGTGGATGTGCAGAGTGTGTGTGTGGATGTGTCGAGTGTGTGCACATGTGTACCTGCACAGTCACATGTGTATACCTGTGGGAATGCACATACCTGTGCTAGTGTGCTGTTGCCCAGGTCAGACCCCATGTGAGTGCTCGCAGATTTCACACTGTGGACACCGGCTCCTTGGCTCACGTGATGACAAAAGCAGAGCATCCTTCCACCTGCCCTCCCGGTGCTCCGTTCCCACCTCCCGGTGCTCCGTTCCCACCTCCCTGGGCTCCATTCCCGCCTCCCTGGGCTCCATTCCCGCCTCCCTGGGCTCCATTCCCGCCTCCCTGGGCTCCATTCCCACCTCCCTGGGCTCCATTCCCGCCTCCCTGGGCTCCATTCCCGCCTCCCTGGGCTCCATTCCCGCCTCCCTGGGCTCCATTCCTGCCCTCCTGGTGCTCTATTCCTGAAGCTTCTTTCTGACTTCAGGCCATAAAGTCAAAGCCGTTTGCCTTCCCTGCTCATTTCCACAGTAAGAAAGATGCAGCCTCACTCAGACCATGGATTGACATGGCCTCTCCTGTGAGGGGCCTCCGCTGTCTGGACCCCAGAGGACGTGTGTCCTCTACATACACCCCTTTCCTTCCACCACTTGTGCTGGGGCGCTGGGCTCTGGGCCTGACTGCTCCATCTGCAAGCTGCAACCCCCTCCCCCCGCCTTCATCGGGTTTCTCATGGTTCTTCCTGTCTCTGCTCCTTGGGACTTGCCCTTGTAGCCCTGAACCCCCTTCTGTGCACTCACGTACCCATGTAAACCGCTATCACTCTCCATGCAGTGACCAGGCCAGAGGACCCCATCCTGGGGGCTGCCTGGGGACAGTGCTCCCTGGGTCTTTGGGGACAGTTAAGTAACTGAGAAGTGGCTGTCACTGCATCTGTACCCTTGTGCTTACTCCATAGGGTGAGCCTGGTGAGGCTGGAGAACCCGGACTTCCAGGAGAAGGGGGCCCCCCGGTGAGTGGACTGAGGGCAGAGCAGGAGGTTGGCAGGGGACCGGTTCCTGGACTCGGATTCCCAGAACACCACCTGAGGACAGGCAGGACAGAGCCTGCAGGCCACAGCTGGGGGCAGGGTGGGAGCCAGTCCCCTGGACAGCACCCGTCACAGCAGGACAGAGCCTGCAGGCCACAGCTGGGGGATGGGGATGGGAGCCAGTCCCAGGGACAGCACCCGTCACAGCCTCAGCCGCAGCTCATACCCAGCAGCGTCCATTAAGTGGACAGTGTGGCGTGTCTCTGCCCTGCACATCACAAATGTTTGTCTTTCCCCAGGGACCAAAAGGTGAGAGGGGAGAGAAGGGCGAGTCAGGCCCCTCTGGCGCTGCTGGACCCCCCGGACCCAAAGGACCCCCTGGAGATGACGGCCCCAAAGGCAGCCCGGTGAGTGGTGCCTGAGAGCCCAGGCCTGGGGGCCTCAGCACAAGAAGTCGGGATGTGCTCTTGAACAAGGAAAAGCCCATGACCATTGCATGTCTTGGGGTGATTTCTCCAATGTCTAGATGTTTCCAAACTAGCTATTCAACAAAAGCTTTAGTCACAAAAGAGGAGGCGTAGCACATGGGGATGACCAGTCCCCCTGGACACCCCCTCCCTGACCTCTGCTTGAGCACCAGGCAGAGCCCCTAGTCCACGGGGGCTGAGTTCCGGCCTCAGTCCGAGCTGCCCTTGGAAGGGAGGGCAGTGCCCACCCCACAGGCTTCCTGGGTGAATGGGATGAGGTCATGTCCAGGAAGGAGCTTCCTCTGTGGCAGAGCACACAGCGGGCAAGTGTGAGAAGGTTCTGGAAGCTGGGTGGGACAGGCTGGCCGAGCGGGTGCAGTGTGTGGCCTCCACCAGGCTGCCCATGACCTTGGGTGCCTCTCTCTCCTTTCTAGGGCCCTGTGGGCTTCCCTGGAGATCCTGGTCCTGCTGGAGAGCCTGGCCCGGCGGTAGGTGTCCCGAGGGGGCTTGGCCCCAGCACAGCGAGGACCCGCCCTTTGCCAGCCCCGGGTGCTTCCTTGTCACTGTTCCTCACTGATGAGTCATTACCTGGGGGACACAGCACTCCTCCTCCCGAGGGGCCCGTACGCTGATGCACTGTCCATTCAGAGCACAGTGGGTTGTGGTGCCCGGGGCACCTGGGTTTGTAGAATTGGGGGGACGGCAGGGGGTCTCCTGCTGTGCGTGAGTGGACTCGGGTGTCCTTCAGGCACAGGAAGTAACTGCTGCTGTCCCCGCAGGGGCAAGACGGTCCACCTGGTGACAAAGGAGATGACGGCGAGCCTGGGCAGACGGTGAGTCCACCGCATGGAGCCCCTGGGCTCTCGGCGGGGGTCTGCATCTCCGCCGTCTTCTCAGCAACCTGGGTGCCCTTCTGAGAGGGCAGCGGCTAGCTAGTTCTCTGATAGGGCTGATTCTGAAGGGAGCCGGGGAGAACCAGCTCCACATCTGGACGTGGGAAGCTTGGGCCCCGAGCTAGAAGAAAAACGCATGTGAAGGGTGTTCATGCAAAGCACGGGTGACTGCCATGCTTTCTGCAAACGGCACTGCCCTTTCACGGGTTCCTTTCCTGAGTGCCATGCGTGTCACATGCGTGTGAGCACTATTTCCATGCGTGCTCTGTGTAGAAACCCAGTACCTTCACACAGGAGGTCTGACTACAGCCCCAGAGACAGCTCTGCCCCGTAAGACTTCTGGGAGCTTCGAGGTCCACCTCTGTTTCTGCTTCCAAGCCACCTGTGTCCCCTCAGGAGTTCAGTCATCATCCCCGCTATAAGCTGAGACCGCACTGGGCCCTGCCTCGCCCTGCTTGGCCTTTAAACCCTGTGCCAGGCCGAGAGCGGTGCCCTTACATGATGCAGATCACTTTAGGTGATGCAGACATCTAGGCACTGACCTCCTGCCCCTCCCTACACTAAATACGGCAAACCCGACGGCCCCCAGGGGCCCAAGATGCATGCTGCTGGTCTCAGACGAGTAGCTGTGCCAAGGGTCAAGGGCCTGCCCTGTTGTCTGAGTTCTCATTCCACCCTTGTGCCTGGGCGGTGTGTATCTTCCCTGGACCCCGGTGTCGGGACATGGCAACTCCTCCCTGGGGCTGTGGTGTGGATTAACCGGCCGTGGGCACCAGGTGCTCAGAGAGAACGTCACTGGGGGGAAGTTCCTCCCGGATGCAGAGAGCTGGAGGCAGGAGTTGGGACCCCGCCACTGACACCCAAGGGATCAGGATTTCTGGAGAGACCTTCCCACAGGCCTGCAGGGAGAGAGTCCACTCCTGGGTGGCCAGGAGAGCCGAGATGGAAGCGCGATGTAAGGGGCCCAGGCCACCTGATCCCTACCCACCTGTGTGTTCTTTCTCTAATGCCAGGGATCCCCAGGCCCGACTGGTGAGCCAGGTCCATCTGGGCCACCTGGAAAAAGGGTAAGTGTTTTTGTGAGCACAAACGACTCCCTGGCACAAAACAACAACAACCATTGCCTGGGGGGTATCTGCATGAGCCCCGTTCCTCCTGGCCTCTCGCAGTGAACAGATCCTGGGTGCCCTCAGCTGCCCCGATGAGAATCTGCTGGGACTGAGCGTGCCCTCTGCTCAGCGTCCCTCAGGCCCTTTACATGATGGGTTGAATGTTGACACCATGAGTAATGTTTCTTTTGAGAGAAGCCACCCGCAGGCTGGACAGTTCTTCCATGGGTCAGACCTTTCTGAAAAGTTAGAAACTGTCCGGGCGTTGGCTTGTCCACTGATGAGTCCAGCTGTCCCCTAGGGCTTCAGTAATCTGGGTGCCTGGTGTGGAGTCAGGGAGGCCCCAGGCCCAGGCTGGCTGGGGGGCGCTGACCCCATCTCCGAGCTCCCTTTACCCGGGCCGCCCCTCGGACACTGAGCTTGTCAAACTATATGTGCAGGTCACCTTGTCACATGTGTTCTGGTTTGTTCCAGGGTCCCCCCGGTCCTGCAGGCCCCGAAGGCAGACAGGGCGAGAAAGGAGCCAAGGTAATGTGCACAGGGGCATCTGGGAGTGGGCTGCCCAGAGGGAAGCTACGGTGGCCAGCCTCAGACAGGGTCAGGTTCCCATCGAGAACCCGCGGAGAGAAAGCTTCTTCCCCTAAGGGAGTCAGCTCTGCAGGGCCCTGGGCTCTTGGGGCACTGACTCCTGATGTCACATGCAGCTGAGGGAGGTGGACAGCGGGCACTGAGGTCAGAAAGACTTGAACGAAGTCCTGCTCCACCACATGCCAGCTGGGTGTTCTCACACTGGCCCACTGACCTCTGTCCCGGGTCCCCAATCCCTTACCCCTGAGGTGGAGGTGAGAACGAGGCCTCCCTCCCCCCCGGGGCTGATGAGGTGTGTAGATGCTGGGCCCAGCCCAGAACATTCTACAGTGAGGCTTGGTGGGGGCAGCCCCACCAGCTTCTCCTGGAGATGCTCTGGTTAAATCACAGAGGAAGCCAAAGCCCATGCCCGCTCAGGAAAGGGTGGCTGTGACTGTCAGAGGCTGTGCTCACCAGGGTGCCCGTGATCGCCATGTCCCCTGTGACCTCTGACCTCCACATCAGCTGTGTCCACTACAATGACTGTACCCACCAGGCATGTTGTTTGCCAGCATGTGCCCTGTGAAGGCCGTAAAGGACTGCTGTGGTCACTGTGTCCACTGTCAGAGCCATGTCCACTCTGGTGGTCACAACCACCATGTCCACCATGGTGATAATTAACTGCCTTGTCCCCTGGTCTCCATGGCATCTGTTCTTCACGTGGCATGTGGCTGCGGCCATCACATCCACTGGTGGCCATATGCCCATTGTGGTGGCTGTGACCGCTGGGCCCCAGTGAACATGGTCAGCAGGAGACTGAGGTGCCAGCGAGCTAAGGAGCTGAGTGCTCACTGCACTCGGAGCTGATCGCCCAGCGGTGTCAGGCGCCGCCAACTGCCCAGAAGGAGGCTGCCCAGCTTCCTCCCTCAGGGCAGATTTGAACCTCCAGAGAGGTCTGTGTCTGGGTTGTCTGTGTGAGGAACTGAAGAGGACAGAGAATTGTCCATCTGAGCTTCTTTAAAGACTGTGGAGAATTTGGGTTAGCCCTTGTTTCTGAGGGAATCTGCATTTCCCTCAAAGGCTTCCTGGCATTTGGGAGCAGTGGGCTGGTGTGACCAGGTGCCCAAGACTCTCCCCACTTTTCTGTCCCTGGGCCCTGTAGGGAGAAGCCGGCTTGGAGGGCCCTCCTGGGAAGACTGGCCCCATTGGCCCCCAGGGGGCACCAGGGAAGCCTGGTCCTGACGGCCTGCGGGGGATACCCGGACCTGTGGTGAGTGATGTGGGCTGTGGTCAGGGTAGGGCAGAGGGGCTGAGGGGAGAGGGCCTGGTGAGAGGACAGACCATGTGTGCTCATGTGGACTAGCACTGAAGCTGCTGTGTTTCAGGGTGAACAAGGTCTCCCCGGATCCCCAGGCCCAGATGGTCCCCCCGGCCCTATGGTGAGTGACATCTGTGTGGAGAGGGTTGCAGTCACAGTGGGAAAGGGGAGTTTGCCACTGAGACCCCAGATGGGGAGTATGACCGCTCTGCCTCCTCCTGCAGGGTCCCCCTGGACTCCCTGGCCTCAAAGGAGACTCAGGTCCCAAGGGTGAAAAGGTAAGAAGGGACTGTAAATGTGGTGCTAAGGGGCCTTCCGCCATGTGTCCAAGGCAACCAGATAGTAACCTCTCACCCACCTTTGTCTTGGGCTGGGCAGGCTCCAGACAGGCACCCCGAGAGATGACAGAACAAGGGGGAAAAACCATGTATAATGTTACTGTTCAGGGCCATCAAGTCAATCCCACTCACAGAGACCGTGTTCAACAGAAGCCCACAAGCACTTCCCAGTCCCACAGCCCCCGCCCCCCCAGGAACCTCCCACAACTACTTCCTGGTAGCACGCCCCCCACACTCACCCCCCACAGTCCTCCCCCTCGCCCCATCACTGCTGGGCCCGAGAGAATTGTTGCGGGCTTGTGCTTGTCCATCTCACTGAGGCTGCTCCTGTTTTGCTGACCCTGTCCTCCACCAGCATGCTGTCCTTCTCTCTGCAGCATGCCCAGAGCACACGAGGTAGTCCCACTGTCCTCTCTTGGAAGGAGCCCTCAGGCCACCCTCCTCCCAGAGCCGCCCTCCTCCCGGGGCCGCCCTCCTCCGGGGGCACCTTTCTTTGCTCTAGCCTGTGGGTACTCAGTATTCCCCAACACCACAGTCAGAGGCATCGCTTCTCGGTCTGCCTTGTTTCTCATCAGCTTGCACGCGCGCGTGAAGCTGGGGCGGGCACACTGTGAGAGTGTGTAACGTGCTATCTTTGCTTGTTAGCACTTTAAGGAGAGCCTGAGCGGCGGATTTGTGTAATGAAACACTCCGTCTGCTTCTCTGGGCATCACATAGAGATAGATGCCAAGGTTTGGTTCCCACCTTCACAAAGGCCTCTGAGCTTCTGGGAGGTGTGGGAGACCTACAAGGAATTAACAGAGAATAGCCACCCTCCTCCTGGACCTGGAGGTTCAGCTAAGGGCATCCAGGGGCCAAGAGTAGACACTAGCCCTGGCCCAGTGTACTGGCCGCTTCCAGGAGGATGTGTAAGGCCCTTTGCAGCAGAGGCAACTCAGTCCCCCCACCTTTTTTTTAAATTATTTTTTAATTTTTATTATTTTTGATGTGTGTCCCATCAAATCGGATCTGACTGGTACAGGAGGGGATTGTCCTTCCTTCTCCAGCAGAGCATCTGGTTCAGTCCCCCTTTTAAATTGGTGCATTGTTTTCCGTTCACATCTGTTTGCTTACAAGCAGCCAGTGCACAAGCCGGACCACCAGTTACGTATTAGTAAGGAGATGGAGCCTTCTTTTCCGTCTCATAGACACCTCCAGTCCCCAGCCCAGCCCCCAAAGCAATGCCTCCTGGGAGAACCTTTCCAGAAATTTCTATGGGCTCATATAAAACAGACATGATCAGATGCAGTAGAATTTTCTTTGTCAGGAGTAATTATTGCTTCGGTAATCACTGGCAATGCTCTTTTCAAGGCTGCACATAAATGTTGGTTTTGATTTTTATGCCAAAGGACCATGGAAAATGTCATAAATGAAGCCACAGCTGCCAGGATTGTCCCCCAGAAAACCCCTTTTACCAGGTTACTCCCCACCTGTCCGTGTCTCCCCACCTGTCTCAGTAGGTCTCATTTTGACCAACTCAGGGTCACACGGTGCCTGCGGTCATATCTCCTTTCTACAAGATGCTGGCCAGTAAAACAATGTCATAGGACAAAGTAAAGGCACCCCTCAGGGTTTCCAAAGCTGTCACCTTCACAGACGTGGGCTGCCTCATCCCAGGAAGCCAGGGTGTCATGGGGTCCCAGGTCATGACGTGCCCTCGGAGTTAATGGGACACGAGGTCCCGGGTGGTAAAAGCCCTCCCGTGCTTGACTTTGAGAGGAAGACCTTCAGCCAGGTGGATTGACACAGTGACTGCCGCAGTGGGCCCGAGTGGTCAGAGACAGGGAGGATGGGCGGGGCAGGGCAGGGCTCAGATCTGCTGTTCTCAGGGCCGCTGTGAGTCGTGCTGGACACAATGGCACCAGACAACAACAACAATTAGTAGAAAGGCTGGTAGTTCAAATCCACCAACAGCACCATGGAGGCGGGGCCTGACAATCTGCTTCCAAGAGAGTAAAAACAAACTGAAACCATTGCACCGTTTCAGCTTGCAGGGACCCTGGAGGGCAGAGTAGGCCCACTCACAGCCTCCCATAGCCGCCCGCAGCCACCTCATAGCCACCCGTAGCCACCTCATAGCCACTGCAGTCACCTCATAGCCACCAGCAGCCATCTAATAGCCACCCACAGCCACCTACAGCCACCCATAGCCACCCACAGCCACCTAATAGCCGCCCACAGCCACCTAATAGCCGCCCACAGCCACCTAATAGCTGCCCACAGCCACCTACAGCCAGCCACAGCCAGCCACAGCCACCTAATAGCCGCCCACAGCTGGCCATAGCCGCCTATAGCTTCTCTTGGCCGCCGGCAGCCACCCACAGTGTTTCCGAGACAGCAGTTATTTGCAGGCAAAGAGCCACACCATCACTGTTCTCATATAGAGCAGCAGGTGGGTTCAAACCACTGAGGTGTGAGTTAATAGCTGTGTGCTTAAACCTCCACGGCTCCCCTCTGTGGAGAAGACACATGACTCACAGGGGCCCCCCAGGGCAGAGGAGAACTGCACGTAGGGTTCCCAAGGCTGCGGTCATCACAGAAGCAGAGGCCGAACCCACCCCCAACAGCAAATGAAAATGGAAAAAAATGTGACCTGAGGGAGGGAGGGGGTAAAATGTGGATGAATGAAAAATCTAACTTCTCTGTAAATATTCATTAAAGTCACAATAAAAATAAAATATTGTTTAAAAAGAAATGGGGGGCAAAACCCCAAAACTCACCTGGAGCGGGTCTGCTCCGTCACACACGGTCTGCTGTGAGCCTGAGTGGACATGACACAGTGGCCGAGGTGTTACCAGTGGTTGGACGGGAAGCGTCGCCCCAGCCTTTTTCTGACCTGGGTCTCCCACAGGGTCATCCAGGCTTGATCGGACTCATCGGGCCCCCGGGTGAGCAAGGCGAGAAGGGTGACCGCGGGCTCCCCGGCCCACAGGGCTCGTCCGGCCCCAAAGGGGAGCAGGTACGTGACGTGGATCCCAGGGAGGCTCCCACCGGCCGGAGCACCTGTGAGCTAGACCTTCTTACAAGGACTAAAACTCAGGCCACGGGGAGAGGATCGTGTTAGGAGGGGCACGACTCGGTGCCCGGCTCGAGGGCACGTTGTCTGTTCATCCTGCCCCAGTGACCCTGTGTGTTCTCATTCCTAGGGCATCACTGGTCCTTCAGGCCCCATCGGTCCCCCAGGGCCCCCTGGCTTGCCGGTATGTACCTTGGAGGGACAGGGGTTCCCTCGGCTGGTCCTGGGGAGGCAGGAGGCTGGGCAGCAGTTGGTGTGTGATGTAGTCAGTTTGGCCCACAGACCTGATTGGCTGGTTGACCTGCAGTCTGGGTTCTGAAGGATAAACAGCCAGGAAGTGGGGTTATTGACCTGGGTTTGGGGTGAGGACAGAAGAAGGGGAACCTCTGTCTCTGGATCTTCTAGGAAAATCCTGAACTTTAGGAGAATCATGTGTAGACGTTTGGGGATGGCAAGAGACATCCGGGGTGCTCCAAGCCCCATGGTCCACAGGGAGGTGGTGTCTCCCATTCCCAGGCACCTGGGCCTGGACAGGGGGAGTGGGGGGCCCAGCGTCTAAGCACCTCAGCATTGCAGTAAAGCAAGGTCTTCATACACGTGCTACAAATCCAGAGCCCGAGACACCCAGACTTTGAGTCTCCTCTTGCCCAACCGAGTGGCCTCTGCGCTCACTCTGAAGTTGGACCTGGAGTCACCAGCCCAGGTGGTGCCCAGCTGGTTTCAGGGCTGACCGTGAGAGCCCAGGGTGTCCAGCTTCCCCTCCTGCTCTGGGACAATGATGAAGAGGGTGTGTGTTGACCTGGGCCGGTGGCCCTGTCGGGGAGAAGTTCCTGGACGGCCAGTTGTCCCCAGCTTCCCTCCCGCACACCTGGAGTCCTGCAGGGAGGGGCCAGTGTGAAGGGGGTGGTGAGGCCATGGAGGCCCGAGGTCGGGCACCTGCCCCAGGTGAGGGCACCATCACCTCCTGACTGTCTTCCATCCCCACAGGGTCCCCCTGGTCCAAAAGGTGCTAAAGGTTCCTCAGTAAGTGACTGTGGGATGGACCCCACACTGCCAGGGCTGGGGGCTGAAGAGGGGCCAGGGTGGGAGTGAAGAAGGGCCAGGGTGGGGGTGAAGAGGGGGCCAGGGTCGGGGGTCAGGAGGGGACCAGGGTGGGGGGAGAAGAGCGGCCAGGGTCGGGGGTCAGGAGGGGACCAAGGCTGGGGGGCTCAGGAGGGGGCCAGGGTGGGGGGAGGTGAAGAGGAGGCCAGGGTGGGAGTGAAGAGCGGCCAGGTGGGGGTGAAGAGAAGAGGCTGTGTCCTGTTGGTGGAGACCACTCACTCATTCACCGTGTGGTCTGTCCCCGGCTCAGGTCCACCTGAGCAGCTCATAGGCCTGGGCCCAGGGGTCCCCAAGACAGTTCTAGAGCTCATGGGGCTTGGTTCTTTTTCTTTCCCCACAGGGTCCCACTGGCCCAAAGGGTGAGGCAGGCCAGCCAGGACCCCCCGGCCTCCCGGTAAGTGACCGCTGAAGACTGGGATGGGGGCCTGAGGAGGGGCTGAGTCCCCGTAACTACAGGGAACCATGGAGTGTGTGAGGGGTCCACATGGGTGGTCCTCGCTGAGACACAGGCCAGATGCCCCACCAGGAACTGCCCGGTCACTGCCCTGGGGAGAGAGAGAGAGAGAGAGAGAGAGAGAGCACACGCCGTGAGGGTCACTGGCTTCAGGGCGGGCACCAGTGTTGGACGTGCTGGGCCCTGAGGGACACTAGGACCAGGAGGTGGGAACAGATCGTGAGTCCCAGGACAGGAAGAGAAAAGAAAGGATGCTGGGGGATGGTTCTCTGGGGCAGGACAGAGGCCCCCCAGGGTCCCTGCTGCCCTGCTCGGCCCCTCCCTCTGGATGTACGGACCTCATCCCCACCCTGCCCCTCAGGGCCCCCCGGGCGAGGTCATCCAGCCCCTGCCGATCCAGGCGTCCAGAACGCGGAGGAACATAGACGCGAGCCAGATGCTGGACGAAGGGAACGCTGAGAACTACATGGACTACGCCGACGGCATGGAGGAGATCTTCGGCTCCCTCAACTCCCTCAAGCTGGAGATCGAGCAGATGAAGCGGCCGCTGGGCACGCAGCAGAACCCTGCCCGCACCTGCAAGGACCTGCAGCTGTGCCACCCCGACTTCCCGGATGGTGAGGGCAGCCCTGGCTGGGGGGCCCAGGGCCTGGGGCAGGGGCAGGGCCTGGGCATGGCCTCATGGAGGGCAGGCAGGTTGGGAAGAGCCTGGGCCTGGGCGTGGTCTCGTGGAGGAGGGGGTTGGGCAGGGCCTGGGCCTGGGGCAGGGCCTCATGGGCTGTGGTCTACTGGGGGCAGGCCCTGGGGAGATGAGGTGGAGTCTGCTGGGACAGGGCTCAAGTGAGTGGGGTGCCCCATGCACCTCAGGGATTGCCATTCATATTCACTGTGTCACTTGCTGTACGTGTTACTCCTTGTATCTTGATAACCCTGCTGGTATCACTGCTGGCATTGCTGTTAGTGTTAGAATTACTGCTATTGCTGCAGCTCGTGGTAGGTGCCAAGGAGTCAGGCACAACTCATGAGACCCTGTGAACGCCAGACCCGGGCCCTGCCTGTCCTGTCCTGTCCTGTCCTGTCCTGTGCCAGCCTCACGGTCTCTGACACACTCGAGCCTGTACTATGACTGCCACTCTTAGTAGCACTCACAGCACTGTTGCTAGAGTCACTGTTAACACGTCCACCGGTCTCACTGCTGGTACCACGGTTGTGTTATTAGTGCTGCCACTTGGATCACTGTTGGTGAAGCTGCGAACCTGGACATCCTGTCAGTGTGACCGTCAGTGACAATCTTGGTGTCAGTGTGGCTGTGACAGTCACTGCAGTTATTATCCCAAGTCTGCCGAGGGCACATCCATCACGTGCCTCTAGTTAGGGCTGGTGGTTTGTCTTCTCAGAGACAGGTGATCTGTTAACGCACATTGCCTTAAAGCACAGCTGTCCTCTGCGCGGGATGGGAACGGAATTGACAATAGCGCCCAGCAGCTTTGTGCTATATCTGTATGAGGGTCAGGGCCAGTGTGGGCATCAGTGCAGCACTCGGTGTTTCACTTGGCCCAAAACCCTGGGGTGTCATCAGTGTCCACCTCCTCATTCTTACCGTCTTTACAAGACCGTCTGGCTGTTAGAAGAGAAGCTGCTGGCTTCCACCCCTGTGCGGGGGAGTGGGAGGGGGGTAATTCTCCCACGAGGGTCGAGGGCTTCCCATGGTGCAATAGGCTCTGCTCTCTGGGGCGTGGGAGTCTCTGGGTTTACTCCAGAACCTTCTCGGCATCTCTGTGCACCTGTCAGGTGCACAGCGCCCTCCCTGGTCCTGCTGCCTACCTTCTAGTTCCCTGTGTGTCCAGCAGGGCACAGTCCCCAGGAGGGCAGTGTGAGGGTGCTGAGGTCTAACAAAGCATCTAGATGTGCCCACCGGGGACCAAGCTTCCTGAGTCCCCTGCTCCCCATATCTCCATCAGGTGAATATTGGGTGGACCCCAACCAAGGATGCTCTCGGGACTCCTTCAAAGCTTACTGCAACTTCACAGCTGGTGGAGACACGTGCGTCTTCCCCGACAAGAAGTCCGAGGGGGTAAGTGCTGGTCTCCGTTCCGCAGCCTCCAGGCTTCCCAGGTGTCACTAGTGCAGTGCAGCTTGACGGTGAAGGTTAGCAGCTGGGCCACGTCCTGATGTGTGTGTGAGAGAGAGAGAGACACAGAGAGAGACAGACCATGGGGGACAGAGCATGTGTAGTAAACGTGAGTGGTTATGTGTGTGGTGGGTGTGCGTGGAGGCTGGTGTGTATGTGCATACACTGCACGATGCATGCACAGGGACGTGTGCACATGTATGTGTGTTTGTAAGCAGTGGTGCTTATGTGATGTGTGTTTGTGAGCAGTGGGTGTGTGGTGTGTATGTGTGGTTCCACGTGGAAGAGGGTTTGTGGGTGGTGTGCGTCCGTGGGACTGGGTACATGTGTGTGATGTGTAGGGACTGGTGGCTTACGGGGAATGTGAGCAGTTGTATGGTTGTGTAGTGTGTGCACTTGGGGACTAGTGGGTGTGTGAGTGGTTGTGTGATGAGTCGAGAAGGGTGTATGTGATTGTGGTGCGTGTACCTGGGGGCCAGTGTGTGTATAGGTGTGTGTGCGCAGTTCCGTGATAGTGGTGTATGTGCGGGGACGTCAGTGCCTCCACGCATGTGTGTGAGTGGTTGTGTGGTGCCTTGAGGGTAGTATGTGTGACTGGTGGGTGTACGTGGGAACCAGGGCATGAGTGTGTGTGAGCAGTGGTGTGGTGTGTAGAGGAAAGTGTGTATGACTGTGATGTGTGTGTGTGAACCAGTGCATGTGTGTGTAAGCAGTTGTGTTGTGTGTGGAGGAGGGTTAGGGTTAGGGGTTGTGAACAGTGGTGTGGTGTGTAGAGGAGAGTGTGTAACTCTGATTGTGTGTGTGTGTGTATGAAGCAGTGCTTGTGCATGTGTGAGCAGTTGTATCATGTGTGGAGGAGTGTGTGACTGTGATGTGTGTGTGTGTGTGTGTGTGTGTGTGTGTGTGTGAACCAGTGCTTGTACATGTGTGAGAAGTTGTGTCGTGTGTGGAGAAGAGTGTGTATGACTGAGTGAGTCCCTACAGGCTCCTGTGTCACTGGTTGCAGCCCCGTGGCTGGTCATGGCAGAGACGCAGCCCAGTCAGGTTCAGGGCCCGTCCACATCTACAGCATCACGAGGGGCAGCTGAGCTTTGGACCCCAGGCCCCCACTCTTATAGAATGAGGCTCCCGGGCCAGGGGTCAGGAGACCAAGGCAAGAGAGGACACAGAGGGCTCGGACACCGCAGGGCTGGTGGCATCTGTGGTGACAAGGGCGTTCCTTCAAACCTGTGGGTTGGGAGCCCGGGCCTGCCAGATGCTCCCTGTCTCCAACAACTGCAGGGCAGGTGGTGTCAGAATGTGACTCAGGTGATGCTGAGGTGACCCCACAGGGCCTGGCCAGGCACGCCGGGTGAGGGCGGCAGTAGATGCTGAGAATCCAGCACGTTTCCACGGCTCTGAGTGGATCGGTAAAGAGGCAGCAGTCACCGTTGTGTGTCTGGGACCAGGCACTGCCCACCTGTCCTCTCCTGTATCAGACACGTGGCTGAGGCAGGAACACTCGGGGAGGAGATGGGGCCTCGCCCTGCTGGAGCCTTAACCGCAGGCCCGCGGCTGGGTCCTGTCGCTGAGTGTCCACTGAGGTGGCTGTGTCCAGCCTAAATAGACATTCCTAGGCATGACCTTCTCTGATGACCCAGAGAAGTGAGGCCACCGCCCTCACACACAAAAGTGCCTCCCCCACGCCACTGGGACTGAGACACTGTCGTCTACACGTCCCTCACATGGTGCCCGGTGCAGACCCTCAGGGCAAGAGGCCCTGGAGAAACGGGCACCTCCTCCACTGACGGGAAGAGGTGTGGGCCCGGGTCACATCACCCGACTTTGAGATGTCAGATCTCCAAGGACACCTTTCTAGAAGAGACTTTGTGCCTGAAAGGACCCTCAGAGGGCCAAAGGCAGAGAGAGGTGGGTCAGGCCTGAGATCACTGGCCCCATAGTCCCCCTGGCCCCAGAAGACCCCCACGCACGGCTCTGACAGCAGCGTGTCTGAAGGCTGGGGTGAGACAAGTCCTGGACAGCTGGACGCAGGCCGGCTGCCCCTCACCTGCTGCTGCCGGGAGGCAGCTTAACAAGCAGATTTACAAGCCTCCAGACAGGGATTCGAACCCTGCTCCCATGGCGAATAACTCAGGCTGGACCTAACGGAGGCCCTGGGGTCCCTGTGCCGCCCAGGTGTGCCCGTGGGCAGCTGGCAAAGGAACGTTCTCCATAAGGAAGGAGTGGGTCACCTGCCTGCTCCGTCGCCCCCCCCCCCAGCTCTCTCTTCGTCTGCCTTTCTGTGCCGGCCTGTCTGTGGGCCTGAGGGCTTGACCCCTGCAGAAGCCAGACCCCCGGGGAGGGGGATCTCACCCAGGGGCAGAGCGCTCATTCCCGATGGGGGCCCCGCTCGTGTGGACACTCTGTGGTGACGTGTGAGGAGCCATGTCCTACAGGCCACTGTCCCCGGATACCAGGGCTACAGCAGCGCGCGCCTTCACTGCCCACTTGTGCATCTGCCCCCTGTACGTGCAGTCGCTGGACTCACGCACACGTGCCTGAGGGTCCAGTCACCTTACAGCATGGCCATCCACTCACAGATCCTCACACGCACACGTGTACTCACACACGGACTCACTCGGCACTTGTGCACGTACACATCCAGTCAGCGCTCACACTCACATGTATTTACACACGTTCACACATGTATATGCCCCCAGTGTACACAATCATGCCTGCACATGTGCTCACACACAGACACTCAGCGCACGCAGTTTGTATATACACGCACGTGTGCACTGTCTCACGCTCACGTTCCTTCCCCGTGCTCCCTGTCATCCTCACGTCTGTGTACACACTCACCTGCTGTGCTCCAGTGCACACTCACTGCCCTGGGGGCCCAGGGGAGCCCAAGGAGCAGAGCCGCCCCCACCGGCCGTGAGGACCCCCGGAGAACACCACACCCCTGCCCAGCGGTCGTCGCTGGCGCCTCCCACCATCACCATCCGCACCGAGGCCCCCACAGTCCAGTTTTCCGTGTGCTCACCGCGTTTCCGAGTGTCACTGAGTGCTCAGCCCCGAGCCGACACTGGACAGAAAAATGAGTTGAATGAGCCCTTGTGATCTCTCATCGTCCAGCTGTCCACCTAATGCTGGACACAGAGGCTGGTAGCCAGGGGTGAGGCATCGATGCTAATGTGCAGCAAGGGGCACTGGCAAGTGCCTGGCTCTGCGACGTCAGAGGCCATGTCGTCCCCGGCTCTCACAGCAGCCTGGTCTTCACAGGGTGAGGGCTGCCCCAGGAGGACCTGTGGACGGCCTGTGGACGGCAGGAACGCTTCTGCAGAGGCAGGAGGATTAACCCTTTCCTTCTCTGTTTCTCTCTCCCCCCACCCCTCCCCTGATGTTTAGGCCAGAATCACTTCTTGGCCCAAAGAGAACCCCGGTTCCTGGTTCAGTGAATTCAAGCGTGGTAAACTGGTAAGGCACCTTGCCCTCCTGGCGGCTGTGACCCTAAACGCGCCCGTCTCCTATCTTGCAGAGTAAAATGGCCCGCTGGCCCAAAGAGAGGCCGTCCACCTGGTATAGTCAGTACAAGCGTGGGTCCCTGGTAAGTGGCCACCGGGCCCTGCTTGCCCGCGGCTCAGCTGGCTCGGCTCTGCATGGCACCACGGCCACGGGCCACACGGCCCCCTCACGCTCACCATGCCACTGCAGGACTCGGACCTCGAGGGGGTCCTGCCCCCAACCCTGCCCAGGCCCCTCGGAGAGTTATTCCAGCCTGCGATGGGGTGGACACTCTCTGTAGATCTCGGACAGGAGGCTGGTGTCCAGGGAGCCACAGCCAGGAGTGGGTGCCAGCCCGAGGGAACCGGCCGCCCAGGAACAGGCCTGGGATAGCAGGAGAGGGTGGGCTGTGTAGTGCTCAACCTAGAGGGCAGAGACACAGAGGGCACCGGGCCACCTGAGTGCCCATGCTGCTCCTGGCCCCGTCTGGCCACACTCCACAGTTGTAACTTCTGGGCCTGTATGAGCCCAGGTATAGCATCCAGGAGGCCAGTCTTACACAGTAAAAGTGAGGTGACACAGGTACCCCGAGAAAGCTGGGTAGGGTACAGCCCCCTGCCCTCAACTCCATTCTGACTCCTACCCACCTCCAGGCTGTCTCTGAAGCTGTAACCTTTATGAGATTTCTTAGGGGGGAAAAAACCAAAAATCCCCACCTCATTACTATTGATGAGGGACCCTCAACCAGGTGGATTGTCACAGCGACAGCCACAAGGGCTTCTAGTATGTCAGGAAATGTGAGGATGGTGCAGGATGAGGACAGGGTGCAGATCTGGTGCCATAGGGTTGCTGTAGGTCGTGTGTGACTCGATGGCACCCAGCAGCATTACTGTTGAATCGGAACCAACACACTGCTGGCCCTGCCGCAGGTCTTCGAGGCTGTAAATCTTTACGGGATTTACAGAGCTGTCGATCTTTCTCCCGTGGGGCAGCTGGTGGACTTGAGCTACCTCCCTTACACACTCCACTGTGTCGGGACCCAGAGCACTAAGGCTGGTGCGGCCCTGTTTGTAGGATGCCCGTGGCTGTGTCCCAGCGTGGAGCACTTGCCCCTGGACACTTGGAGTCTGATCTGCATTCTTCCTTTGAGGAGATTTAAATGTCTGTGCTCCCCTCTCCTCCGTGAAAAGGGCAGAGCGTCCAGCATAACCAGCCCCTTGGAGCCCCTGTTCCCCACCTTACGTTTCTGCCCTGCACTTTCGTCTGCCCGCCCCTCAGGCTCTGGAAGGTCCTTCCCATCAAGGCAACACGCAGGTGCCCTCATCTCTGACCTTGGTCCCTCTGCATGCACAGGGCCACACTCCCTACGTGGTTCCCAGTGCCCTGTGTCTGTGTGAAGCCCCACGACCCCTGTCCGTTAACCCCTGAGGCACTGCCTGGCTGACCGGAACGTCACAGCAGCTCCATCCCGGCCTCTGAGGGCTGCGCTCACCTGGCCACATCCCAGCGCTTCCTCCTTCATTCTGGGCGCTCCTGTCCTTTCTTCCTGCTGGCCCCTCCCCTTCACCTTTGCTTTATTCTCTGCCAAACAAGCTTTCGGACACAGAAGGACTGGAAGTGGATGCCCATTCGGGAAGGCCAGGCACAGCAGATAGGGAACGTTGACCCAGGCAGGTGGTGGACAAGCTGGCCAGGTGGGGGAGGGAGTTCTAGAGAAGTGACGAGCTCTTTGGCTAATAACTGAAAAGGCCACCGGGAGGAGCCTCGGAAGAAAGTCCTGGCGATTACGAACAACCCAGTGACCACTGGAGGCGTGTGGAGCACAGCTCGGCTCTGGCACACATGGGGCTGCCAGGCCTGTGCTGGCCCAGCGTTCCCTCCGTTCTCTGGCCCCTGGTCCTTGCTGCTCCCTCTGGAGAGACCTGGGCTCACGTCCAAAGCTTCTTTTTCGGGGGAGATGGTGTCTGACCCACCGCCAGCCGCCATGGCCTGCTTTACACAGCAGCGCCAGTGTGGGAGGGGGAGGGATGGCTCAGGCAGGCCAGCTTATCTGGCCTTGTCCACTCGCTCCTGACCCTGGTGCTCTGTGACTGGTGAGTAGGAGAGGGCGTGGAGGAAGGCCCTGTCATGGGGGGGACACAGCCCCCTCCCACCTGGAGCATGGGTCTTGCCTGGGGCCTGGACACTCTGCTGGCCCTGGGTTCCTGGTCCTTCTGTGTCCAGCGTGCTGGCCTCTCTGCCTGTGCATACCTCTCTGAGTCAGTCACTTCCTCCCGACGGAGCTCCTGGCGGGACCCGGATGTGGTTGGTATGGATTTTTCCCTGCAGGTCTGACTGATTTGCCGTGCTGACCCAGTGTGTGGTGGTGTGGGACTTGGGGGTGCAGGGTGTGTCCTTGCCATGCTGTGGGAAAGGACAGGGTCCTGGCTTGGCTCTGAGCCCCTCGGCGCGTTCTCTAGGTGGAAAAGCTGGGTCTCATTGTGTTCACTCCTGTCCTGCTCCTGTCTCCACTCATTGTGGCCTGTGCCTGGGACTTGAGGCCTCCTCCTCCCAGCCTCTCTCATGGACCCAGGCCCCACACTTCCATCCGTCTGTCTGTCCTTCCATCTGTGGAGGAAAACTAAGCTCACCCCTGCACAGCACTCTGTCTTAGAGGTCCTGGGTGTCCAGAGACTCCACATACCCATCCATCCATCATCTGTCCATCCGTCCGTCCATCCATTCATCCATCCGTCTGTCCATCCCTCCATCTATCCATCCGTCCTTTGGAGGAAGGCTAAGCCCACCTCCTGCTCCCCGACCCTGGCTACTTGTGAGAGGAACACAGAGGCCTGTCTGTCCCCTGGGTGAACAGGTCAGCCCTGAGTCAGTGGGTGGTTCTCTGTTCATTTAGCAACACAGACACAGGGCTCCTGTCCCCAGGACTCCACATTCACCAGGAGAACCCAGCCACTGGGAGGTGGGGAAGGGGAGATGAGATGAGAGACCAGATGTGGCGTGTGTGGTGGGAGTCCAGGCCCGAGTGATGGCTGCAGCACTCACCAGGCCTCCACCTGAGTGGCAATGGCCTGGTGACACAGCAAACCCTAATCAGCACCCACTGTGGTCACACAGTGCTCGGTGCTGGGGTTCGCCCAGGGGCAGAGTGGATTGCACTCCTAGGAGAGAAGACAGACCCTACTGTGGTCCCGGATGGGGTGGGGGACACCTGGCCAGGAGGTCAGGTGAGGGAACGTGCAGCCCAGGCGAGGTGGGATCAGAGCAGGCTTCCTGGAGGAAGTGGTCCGTCACTTTTCCTGGGGATTCTGGGGTGTGCTGTCTCTGACACGCTTCCTGGCCCCAGAAGACATCAGGCCTGTTGCGGGATGTGTCCCCTGCTGACCTCGTCGGGCCTGTTGCAGGATGTGTCCCCTGCTGACCTCGTCGGGCCTGTTGCGGGATGTGTCCCCTGCTGACCGCTGCCACCCTCCCCCGCAGCTCTCATACGTGGACGCCGAGGGCAACCCCGTGGGCGTGGTGCAGATGACCTTCCTGCGGCTGCTGAGCGCCTCTGCCCACCAGAACATCACCTACAACTGCTACCAGTCGGTCGCCTGGCAGGACGCCGCCACGGGCAGCTACGACAAGGCCATCCGCTTCCTGGGCTCCAACGATGAGGAGATGTCCTATGACAACAGCCCCTACATCCGGGCTCTGGTGGACGGCTGTGCGGTGAGTGTCCCTGGGGCCATGCATTCACTGGACGTGCACTGACTGAGCACCTGCTTTGTGCTGGGCCCTGAGCTGCACGCTGTGGTGCAGGGAGGGCCCCCCAGGGGTTCTGATCATCACTGCTCCCTGTGGGCCATGCATTCACTACATGTGCAATGACTGAGCACCTACTGTGTGCGGGGCCCTGAGCTGCACGCTGCATTGCAGAGGGGCACACACAGGGTTCCTGTGTCTGGAGTGTGTGCCTGGGTTGGCAGCATGGTGACAGTAGAGACACAGGCCCCCTGAGCACAGCTGGAAGTAGACTCGTACCCAGAGGCAGATTATGAGAGGATTTAGACAGGGACCTGGGGCCTCACTCCATTCCTGAGTGGGGCGGAGAGGGGAAGACCCAGTGGTGCATTTCAGAATTTAGAGGCTGCTTCCTGGTATAGTTGGGTCCCTAATCAATGCTTATGGGACCAGTAGTCAGTAAATCAGAGGATGTATCACAGTGGGAAAATCTGCTGTCAAGGACCCCTCCACAGTGCCAGAGAACAAGGAGGTGGCTTTAAAGACTGAGATGTGCCTGACCCAGCCGTGGTCTCTTTCATTGATCCTTTGCATCTAAAAGTTACACAGCGAATAAGAAAAATCAGAAAGAATTGATGCCTTAGAACGGTGGTGTTGATGGGGAATACCAATCAACCCAGGAACTGCCGAAGGAACAAACGGCCTTTGGAGTAAGGGGAGCCGCGTGCTCGGAAAGGGTTGGGAGGAAGAGAGGCCTGGGTGCTCGTAAAGGCAAGGAGGGCGAAGCTTGGTCTAACATGCACTCGACAAGTTGTTAGGAGGGACGAGTCCTTGGAAAAGTGAAGGATCAACAAAAGAGACAGACCTTCAACGAGACGGCCGGCCCGTGGCCGCCGCAGTGACCTGTGGATGTGAGGATGGCGCAGAAGAGCGTGGCTGTGTTTGTGGGTCACGTCGGAGACGTCGACGCAGCGTCACCTGACAGACCTGCGGGGCTCTGGTCCAGGGGTGTCTGGAGCCGAGCCTGGAGCTGCTCCTGGGGACGTGTTGTCAGTTGCCGTGCGGTGGGCTCCATCTCGGGAACAGTGCGGTGCTGCCCAGCCCTGTACCCTCAGCAGGGCGTTGTGAGGGCATCTCACTCTTAGCCTGACCCTCTGCAGAGTTATTTCTAGCACCAGATTATCCTTTGAGTATCCCTAGCAAGATGCGGGGTCCCTGGAGCACCTGGCTTGAGCGCTAGGCCAGGGAAGAAGAGATCACCCTCTCCCGTGCACTTGCTTTCCAAAAGGAAAAGTCACCATTCTGGGTGAAGTAGGGGTGACCCGAGAGAAGGATCTGGCTCTGCAGGTGACTGGTCAGGGCCTGGGGCCATGTGGAGGCTGGGCAGTGGGCTGAAGAGCAGAAGGCGATGAGCCACCCTGGCTGTGGGGCTGCTGTACTCACCCCAAATCCTGGCCTGGGCCACTACCCATGACAAGCTGGCTTGCTCTCACTGAGGGGTAGAGGCCGTGCCTGGAGCTTACTGGACGGCTGATTGGCCATGGCCAGAGAGCAGCCTGATTCATGCAGCAATAACAATAAAACTTGGACCCTGGCCACACGGCCTGGGGTCCTGACGGACAGCGCAGAGCAGGGCCAGGCCGTGGAGAGACACAAATCTCAGATAAGAGCCCTGCGTGCCCCCCCCGCCCCCGTAAATCCTGGTGTTTGTGCAGCTGAGTGAGCCCCCAGGGCCCGTGTGCCCCATAATGGTTATTTATGGCTCTGGAATAGCGGGCAGGGGCGCTGTCTGTGCCCAGCCGCCTGGAGCACTTGGATAATTGGAGCGGTGGGCTCCGTAAATCCAGGAGAAGCCACCTCACTGCTTGCCAAGTGTTACCTGTCAGAGGTTAAGAAGGGAGACAGGTGCGTGAAACCATTTGACTTTTCACTGTGGACAGATGGAGGGCATCTCAGTTCTCCAGTCCAGCTGTGACCGAGACACCCCAGGTGGGTGTGTCCATTCTCTGGTGCTGCTGTGACAGACATACCACAAGTGGACAGTTCTTCCAAACGGAAATTCAGTCTCTGAATATTTAGGACACTAGAAGTCCGAGGTCAGGGAGCCAGCCCCAGAGAAAGGCTCTTTCTGTGCTGTCTGTAGAGGAGAGTTCTGTTTCCTCTCAACATCTGAACATTTGTGGGCCTGACTTCATCGTCCAGGATGGAACAGCGTTCACTTCTTTTGCTCTTAAGGTCACTATGAGTAATACTCGACTTGACGCTACCTAACAAACGCCTCGTAGATGGTATTGGTCCTAAAGACTTCTGTCTATTGTATCCTGCCACTCTACTAAATTTATTTACTAACTCTATCTGGTTTTTTGTGGAGAATTTTTTCCCCCCTGAGTCTTTGGGATTTACTGTGTGCTCTATCATCTCTCTCTCTCTCTCTCTCTCTCTGTCTCTCTCTCTCTCTCTCATCTCTCTATCTCATCAGCATACAGTGATAGTTTCAACATCTCTTTTCCAATCCGGATGCCTCTTCCTTCCTTCCTTCCTTCTCTTGTTGTTTGGCCCAAGCAAGTACTTTCAATACAGTATTGAGTAAGACTAGGACGTTCCCAGCAGAGGCAAACTGTGTCCAAAGGGTGTGTCCACTCCCGCTTATTTTTGCATTTTGATGATAGTGGATCTCTGAGTGGAATCGGATACATGGAGGTCAATGTGCCAGGCATTTAACTCGACTCGTTGCAGCTGAGTCAGAGCTGACCCTTCAGAGAGGTTTCAGAGGGTGTGAAGAGATTGCTTGTCTCCCTGTGAGCAGCTGGCAGCACTGCCCCCTTCCCGCCGGGCCACCAGAGCTCACTGTCCGCGGATTCGGGACCTGAACTCAACGGAGGCTGGCTGTTCTTAGGTGGACAGTCACAGTGTGGGACCTTGAGCTCTGGTGACCTACTAGTGAAAAGCTGCACCATGATCCCAAAGGCACATGGTTCTAATCCACCAGCTGCCGTGAGAGAAGATGAGCAGTCTTCTTGTGATTTGCTGCCTCTGAGAACCTGCTGGAGGGTCAGCTGTTGGTCAGTTCTGATTCAACAGCACACACCAACAACAATGTGTGATACTAAAGTGACACATTGAAGGGGAATGATGTCGAGTTCATCGTCCAAATAAGAACATTCCAGGTGCCCATCAACAAACGAATGGATAGAAAAACTATGGTATATTCATGCAAGGGAATACTACACAACACTGAAAAACGGTGAATTTGTAAAACATTACACAACATGACTGGCCCTGGAGGACATCATGCTGAGTCACGAAAGGACAAATACTGCAGACACCACTGTTATAAAAGCAGGTCTGACATGGGAGGTTGGGAGGAAAATAGGTAAGAGTGGATAGAAAATGAACATTGCATTGGAACAGATTAAGGAAAACACTGTTTAAAAGGATTATGTGATTAAGCATTATATATAAACAACAGCCCAGAATAAGAGATACATTGCAAAGCGGACTGAGAGAAGGGGAGGCAGTGAGGTAAATTTTTTTATTTTAAGTGAACTGGAGGAGGGGGCAGGGAAGGAGAGAGGCTAAAATGTGCAAGAATGAATGAATGAAAATCTAACTTTTCTGTAAACTTCCATTAAAATCACAATTAAAATAATAAGGAAAGGGGAAAGATCCAGTATGAAAGGCAATGTATAAAAACTTTGTAAGTGGACTATTATAAAATAAAAATAAAAAGATTTAAAAAAAGTAACATTTCATTACTTGTCCTGAAATGAAATGTTGTCAGTGGCAGGATAATAACGATTGTTGTTGCTGTGTGCTGTCTAGCTGGAACTGACCCATAGCTGACCCTCCAGGGGCCTTCAGAGGCCGTAAGTCACATGGGAGGAGATAGTTCACCCAGGGCCCCCAGGAGGAAGGCCCACTTCCCGTTCTCCAGAGGACATGGACCTGGGTGGCTTCCCCAAGGCCATGTGGTTGGTCAGGCACAGAGGGGACAAGTGCTCAGGCTCTGGCCTCTGTTTCTGTCTGGCCCCTCCCTCTGCTGGTTTTCCGGATGAAGTGTCCAGAGAGAGCACACTGGAGTCTCATCCCCCGTCCAGGGAACATCCTGGCCTCTTTGTTGGCTCTGGCGTCTGGGGATTGTCATGCTTCTGTCTGTCTCCAGTATGCTCAAGTAGGGAGTGTCCACAAAGGCTGAGGTGGGCGCGAGGGCCAGGATGGAAGGGCCGACCCCTCCGGGTCATGCAGAGCGTCCCCGCCCCGATTCAGCCACATCTCTGGCACCTGGTGCTCGACCCCAAACCAAGAGGAAACCAAGAGCATTGTGGGAGAGTGCTGTGGCCATCACACTGTCCCTACACTCCTCTCAGGGTCGTGCAGGGTCATGATGTCGTGTCTTTGGGGTCACGTGTGTGGACCTGGCTCCAGTTCCCCAAGGAGCCAGGGGTTAACCTGTGCGCTCCACTGCTGTGTGGACATGGGGGGCCACCTCCCTTCAGAGCCCAAGTGGGGAGAATTCGGTGATGGGTTAGGTGGGTCTGACCATCTCTAACTAAGGTTCTCTCTCTTGTCCTCAGACGAGGAAAGGCTACCAGAAGACTGTGCTAGAGCTCGACACCCCCAAAGTGGAGCAGGTCCCCATCGTGGACATCATGTTCAATGACTTCGGGGAGGCGTCGCAGAAGTTTGGGTTTGAAGTGGGGCCAGCGTGCTTCATGGGCTAGGAGCTGCCACGCCCCGAATGAACAACCTCGTGACCTCGGTACGCTGCTTGGGAGCGTCCTGTGTGCGGTCCCGCCTGGCCGCCAAGGCTTCTCGTCCCCGCCCCGATTCAGCCACGTCTCTGGCACCTGGTGCTGGACCCCAAACCAAGAGGAAACCAAGGGCAAGAGAAGAGGCGCCCCAAGGAGCCGGATCACATGACCTAGACGTGCCACAGCCTTGGGCCACGCTTGGCCCCCAAGTGCCTCCTTCTCCACCCCTGCCTGCCCCCTACCCCACAGGGATGGCCCCCGACCACGCTGCCCACCACCCAGGGCCACCGCCCGGGTCCTCAGATAGCGTGCATGGGGTGGGGGTGGGCATTACTGTTGGACACCATTTCCTTTCATTCAACTTGAAGAGGTCTGTCTCCCTTGACCTTCCAGAAGTTTTCTGAGGCAAACCTTGCAAAGGTCAGCTGCTGTGGCCAGTGCCCAGCGGTCCCCACCATTCCACACGTGCCTTTCCGGTGGATCTAAGGTGCTTATGTTGTTGTGAGTTGTAAGTAAATATTTGTATTGTATTGTTATAAATGTGTGTGTCCCTGACTTTCCACCATGCATAGAAACCCAACCACCAGTATCATTCCGCACCCCAGGGAGATCTCCATGGGGTCAGGCGTGGGCAGCTCTGACCCCCTCCTGGGCTGGGGCAGCCAGGAGTCGGTCGCTGTCCTCACCCAGCAGATGCCTTGCCCTCTGACACAGTGTTGATTAGCTCTGCTTTCTTTATGGGGAGGAAGAGAAAACTCATTCCCCGCTGCACCTTTCCTGTGTGGGTGTGACGGGAAGGTGGCACGGCGTTCACCTTCGTTGCCTCCACACCCCACGGTTCGTCCTGCAGAGCCTGGGGGGAGGCCGTCCAGGGTCAGGACACCCCTTTCATCTACATGATCGTTCAGTGAAAACTGGTGCTGACTTCCGTCTCCTCTCTGTGGTGCTAGCTGCTTTAAGAGCTCCTTGAAGGTGACACTTGGGGGGACCTCCCACTTGCTTCGACCTGGTTCTTCCTCTGACAGTGAAACATTGGGCTGTGCCGACTTGATCTGAAAACCTACCCTCCCACCCAACGCACAGCCTCGCCTCCAGCGTGTGCTGTCTCTGCCCGGTTGCTGGATATTTGTGGTGCTAATTTCTGTGTTTGTTCCGAGAACTGAACTGAGACTGGCTGGGGGTTATGTGCTGTCTCAGATGCAGCTTTGACAGACAGGGAGGTGCAATCAACTCTGAGGTGCTCTGAGGTGCTGCTGGCCACCCTGTGCCCGAGAGCAGCCCAGGATCCACCCGCTAGATTCTGGGCGCAAGTGCTAGCAGCTTTGAGCTTGGTGCTGGGCAGACCCTCTCGGGGTACCACTCCTGCTCCTGGGTATCAAAAGGCAGTGCTATCGGTGGGCAGGGGGACCCAGCGGCCAGCAAGGAAAGTCAATCCTACTGTGAAAAGTGACCTCGAGCAGTACCCCTTCCTGCCAAGGTGGGAAAAGCAAGCAGGGCCTGGCAAGCCCCGAGCAGCGCCCGGGAACGAGCTGTGACGTGGGTGTGGATCTGTTTCCCCACTTGTCTTCCAGTACCGCTTAGGGGACCCCCAGCCGTGCAGCCCGGGTGTCACAAACCAGCCCCCAAATAAGTCCCCGTTTCCCTAAGACGCATGTCTTACTCTTGCCAAAGAAAAGCCTGGCTTGGAGGCCCTCCAGCCACGTATCCTGAGGAAAGTGCTGTGGGCAGGTGGCTGGGGCCTGCCGCCCGTGGAGCCCGTCTAGGTCATGTGATTCTGTGGTGACTCCTTCCATCCGATGTGCCCTATATCCCATCATCCTCTCCTCTGTTGGTCCCCCGAAAGTGGTTGTGATTTGTACTGAAGTTCAAAACGTGCCCCTCTCTGCCCCAAACCACTCTAGCTACGGTATATTGCAATAAAATTTCTTCTTATATTTGCAGAAATTCTTCTGGTGTAATTTTATTTTTTCCCTTCCTAATATATCTAATTGGATGAACATTGTCAACGAGGGGAAAAAAGATGAAGCAATAAATAGAAAACGTACAATAAAGGTCTGGAATATCAGGGCTCTGAGAGTAGAGTATCAGGTGTCAGCTTGTACACACCCCCAAACCCACTAGACGCGTCATTGGTTCCAGCTGTGATGCCCAGGGTATTTTAAACAACTTCAAACCTGTGTACCAAAGGATTAATTGTACCAGTGTTTTCAATAAATGAAGTTTACTGTTTCCACCTTTGAAAGATGTGATTGCAATGTCTTTGCATGGATAATCTCTTCTAGAAGGGCCGTCCCAAAGCTGCTTCATAGGAGGCAGAGCTAAAGAGGTCTCAAACGTCCAACATTTCAGAGCGCTGAGCCATTCCATCCTCTCTCCCATGTACTCCCCTGCCCCTCAGGGCACTCCTTCCTGGCTTTGAGTTTCATAATTCACTTCAAATTCACACAGAACTCCTGGGCCATCAAGGAGACGATTCACATGGCTGTGGAGGCTGCAAATTCCAATTCAAGGGTCAGATGTCAGGCTGGAGGCTTCTTCTGGCCCATGTGGTTGCAGGGACTGATAATGTCAAATCAACAGATCATATGATAGGCTGCTGGCTCGCGGGGCTGGAGAGTCAGGGCACGTGATAGGCTGCTGACTCGCGGGGCTGGAGAGTCAGGGCACGTGATAGGCTGCTGGCTCGTGGGGCTGGAGAGTCAGGGCACGTGATAGGCTGCTGGCTCGCGGGGCTGGAGAGTCAGGGCACGTGATAGGCTGCTGGCTCGTGGGGCTGGAGAGTCAGGGCACGTGATAGGCTGCTGGCTCGCTGGAAGCCAGATGATTGCTGCAGCCATGGGCTTACATGCAGCAGATTGTGAGGATCTGGCAGGGCTTCATTCTCCTGGACTTGGGGTCTCTGAGTTACAGCTGACATCAAGGCACCTAACAACAGTGGGTCCCAGGATTTTCTGACTTGTAAGCGTAGGAGAAATCTGCTCACCACTGAGAACAACAACTGACTGGAAGCCTCAGTGACAGCTCAGCACTGGGAGCTTTCCTGGCCCTTGGCCCTGGAATTGCTTGACCTGAGGGCGGCACCTGGAGCCCCGGAAGGAGGCAATGGTGGAGGCCAAGGGCTGTCAGTTGTCTCACTGTCCGTGCTCCACACCAGACAGGCTTCTCAAGGCAAAGTCCTAGGGGTCACCCCTCCATGGTGGATACAGGGTGCTCATGTCTGGAGGGCACCTGCAGCTCCGAACCTGCCCCTGCTGGCCTGGTGCTCATGGCTCTGTGTCGCCACCAGGCTTTCCCTAGACCAGCTCCAGGACAGGCTGATTGGAAGTGTCCACGTGCCTGCAAGGGTCTCCTGCCCTGTCTGCAGTACTGACGGTTATGAAGCTCAGTGCTCCCACCCTCATTGGTCTCTGAGGAAGCTCTTCCAGGAGGGGACCCTGAGATGGGTCTCAAGGATAGGACAGGGGCTCGGGGAGCCGAGGGAGTCTGGCCAGCAGCTGACAGCACAGAGGGACCGAAAGAGAGAACCTGGCAGAGCTCTAGTTCTCTGCATCTTCTTCATCATCCCTGAAGCAGAGCTGAAAGAGTCCCCTCTCCGCAGGGGGTGCTGTGGGCTGGGACCCTAATATCTGCATCTGCCCAGACCCAGTGTGGTGTATCTGTGACTCAGATTGTGCCCAGAACAGAGTCATCCTGATACAGTGTGGCATCGCCTAACCCAGTCCATGCCCTGTCCAGTGTCACCTTGATTCAACCTATGTCCTGCACAATGTCATGTGACCTCCACAGGTGCCTATCACGGGGTGATCACAGTGCAATATCACTTAACTCAGGCCACACCCTACACAGTGCCACAGTGACCCAGCCCACGCCCTGCACAGTGTGACCCTAACCTCGCCCACACCCTGGACATGACCACCTTCGCCTGCCTACACCCTGACAATGCCACCTTAGCCCAGCCTAAACCTGCACAGTGTCACCCTGACCCATCCCATACCCTTCACGGTGTCACTGTGACCCAGCCCATGGCCTGCAAAGCTTCACTCCTTCCAGCTCACACCTGGAAAAGTGTCACAGTGAACCCATCCAAGCTTGTCATGGCAAGGTGTCACCATGATCAGAGCAGAGACCCTGCACTCAGCCCCGTCTTCCACACACGGCACTTTCTCATCAAATCCTGAGAGGACACACCTGGCTGAGCTCAAGGAGTGAGAGTCACGATATAATGCCATCCTTGAAGAGACCAGATGCCCATGAGAATGAAGGTGCGCTGGGCGTCCGGGTCCAGATCAGATGAGCGACCATTAGCCAGAAGCGTATTGTTAACAACGAGTGGTTGTCAGCATCCCTGGGGGCTGCTGGGCGAACTCAAACCTCCAACCTTCCAGTCAGCAGCCGAATGTTTACTCCTTGCACGCCAGGACTGTCCCAGAAGAGACCTGCATCATGGGCACAAGCCCTGCACCTGATGTTCCAGAAGGTGGAGAGGAAAGGGAGCACTGGGCATTCCCAGCGGGCTGGGGGACCCCTACCCACAGTCAGGCTCCAGGGTAGGGGGTCAGGCCATGGGCCAGCAGCTCACCTGATGCAGCCTTGACCCACGAACCCCCACAGGCTCCAGTGAGTGAGTTCCAGAGAAAGTGAGGTGGATGGTCTGACCTGACCTGGGATAAGGAGGTAACTGGAATTCCTTATCCATCTTCCGTCGGGGGTCTACCCATCACCCCCAAGCTCACCTTGGGGGGGGGACCAGCACTCATTGCTACACAGTCAGAACGGACCCTTCCTTTGGTTCGGAGGCTGTAAATCATGGCTAGGGATCGCCCATCTTTTTCCTATGAAGCTGCTAGGGGATTCGAACTGCCAGAGGCCTAAGCCTCTGGTTCAGCTTAGCAGGGCAACTCCCTACCAACTGTGCCATCAGGGACTCTCTTCAGTGGAAAACCAGCTCCAAAGCTCTTTCAGGAGCTCCC